GGCGCTGGCGCCGCTGCTGCTGGCGGCGGCCCTGGCGCGCTGCTACAACGTGGACGTGGCCCGGCCCGTGGTGTTCCAGGGCCCCAACGGCTCCTTCTTCGGCTACTCGGTGCTGCAGCACTCGCACGACAGCACGCGCTGGTGAGTGCGCGCTCCGCGCCGCGCGGGGAGCGCCGCGGCGCCGGCCGCCTCGCGCGGGACCTTTAGTTGCTTTAATAGTAGTAAGCGCCGCTGGGAGCGGTGTGCGCAGCTTGACAGCGCTGACCTGTTGAAACGCGGGCTTTGCGCTCCGTGTTGTGAGGGGGAAAATGCCTTGGGTGTCCCAACGGCTTCCCAGCCAGGAGGCATCATCAGGCTCCTGCATCTCCCCGGCACTGCGGGGATGGAGACTCGTGCGGTCCCTCTGTGCCCTTTTCCTTGCGGAATAATGGGGGCTGCTGTGAAGTTTTTGTACGTCTCCAAAAGCAGCTATGTAAACTAGCCAGCTTGTTGTTTTTTCCTGTTGACTGAAAAGAGCCTTGGATCGTGCTCTGTCTCTCCCGTGTCTGGGTCAGAGTCTCTTTGTTAGAATTAAAAACTGATCTCTCTTAATTGGGCCGAGCTGATGTCATCTGGTGGACTTCTAATGCGAGTCAGAGCCGCTGCTGCCAATAAGTGTCCACAAAGCTCGTCTTTATCTCTGGCGCTTAGATATGGCCCGATTACTCAGCTGCCCGTGGCGGAACTGTAGTGCTCTGTGATATAAGTAAATGTATTCATGCTGGCGTCCCGTTCTGTAAAATGGGCTTCATTGATGCCCTTTAGTCCGCGCGTCGCGGGGTGCTTTGCTCCTCAGCATAGGGGTTTCTATGGGGCATTCATTGGTGAGGAAGTGCGAGGAGGAAGGGGCTCTCGTGGAGGATGAGCCCGTGGTTGGAAGTGATTTTTGACTTGTCACAGGGTCCAAATGAGGATGAAAAGGCTGGAAGTGACTCGTGTGCGACCCAGATCCCTGGGGGCTCGCAAGAGTGAGGGAAGTGCTGACCCAGTGGGATAGGATGAGATGGAAACAATGGGATTTGTTGCTCTTCCTTTCCTGTCAGGCTGTGTTCTGATCGCTAGCATGGGATTATCTTTAATGAGTACCTGTCCATGTGTTTTGGGCAGATATCCAACTTCGTTTGGGAAGCTACATAGCGGGTAAGTGCAGGCAGACATCAGAACGTCAGAGCTTCAGCCCGGTGCCCTCCAGCTTTATGAAAACGGGGGCTGTGGCACCTGGCAATAAAAGATCTCCAAAATCACAAAGTGTTTGTTAAAACAAGTAGCTCATAGAGTGGAGTTAGCAGCCGCTGAGCACAGCCAGCGTCAGCACTCGGTCTGGCTGCCAGAAGTCTCGGGGTGGGATTGTCACTGTAGAACTCACTGTAGGACTTCTCTTCCCATCGGGGAACACGGAGAACCTGTGCCCGGCAGAGGTGACAGCGAGATGTTCTCCCTGGCTGTGCTTTGCAGTGTGTAACGATGCCCGTGGTAAAGGCACGTGCTCCAAAGGCTGAGGGACTGCAAGGAATTACTTCATTTCTTCACTTCCACATGCAGCCTTCCAGCTGCGTCAAGATGTTGTCTCTGGGCTCTGGATGGGCATGTTCTCAGTGCAGGTCTGCTTTTTCAATATTGCCACCTAAGGTCAGTTTTAAATATTTTTGGGAAGGCATAAAAATCTGGGAAGGCTTTCTTGACATCCAGACCACCAAAGGATTGAGCCCTTGCAAGTGCCTTTAGCTGTGTTACCTTCTTTTGACTGGCACATAAAGGCTTGTAATATTGTGTACTACTATTTTAAAACCATCTTAATGCTGTACAGAATATTATTTCTTCCTGCAGATATCACTTTGTGGCATAAAAGTCTCATCACTTTCCAGCTTAAAGTGATTACAGGTTACTCAAATACAAAATACATTTTTTTTAAATGCATGAGTGCAAAGTGGAAATGGTTAGTAGAAGTGATGACAGTTTTCAGATTTGTCATTTTTCTTGTGTGAAGTTGTGGTGTTCAAAGCTGTACAGCTCTTCCCCTCACTGGCTTGATAGAGTTACAAGATGATGGTTTTTAATCTTCCAAAATGGGGAATTCTGCTGGAGAAGTGAAATCTATAATATATGCATTATGAATTATATATGCATTATGTAATGAAAATACGTTCTTATATTTTCGTGTCATTGTAGCAAATAGCTCCTATTAATAGCATAGGGTTATTGACCATTTTCTGTATTATTTTTGTTCTTAGCTTCATAGTTGCTCTCCACCTTGAGGAGCAAAGATTTCAGTTTCTCACAGCTGTTTAACTTATGCACCACTCTGGAACATTTCTACATTAACTTGGTGTCACTGTCATTTGGGCATGTGTGGCTTGCTTGGTGAGCTGTGCAACATGAACCTGTGTGGATGTGAATGACAGGTGATATCCAAGGCTGACAGGGTTTAACCTGTTAATATGCTCTTGGGCATTGCTGTTCGGTTTTGTGATAGGTCTGGGTTTCTTACTCTTTATTGCTCCCTATTAATTCACCTACCTAATGCATTTCTGATCCTGAGAACATCTTAGCTGAAGTGTGTTCTCAGCATTCTTATGATATGCATATGTCATTGCTTTACTTTAAAATCCTGTCTGGAGTGGGCAGTTCTTGAACTTTAGCGTTTCAGTCATTCATTTTGCAACCTTCCTGAAGCACCTGTCTGTATTATCTGCAATAAACCTACATTTTTTTCAGTGAACTGATTCAGGATTTGATGACTCTTTATGTGGTGACTCCTTGGTGTGAGCCAAAACTCTTGCAGGAGGAAAGAATGGCAGAGATTGTTTGAAATGTTATCATCTCAGACAAATATTAATAGTCATGCCACTACTCTAACTCCTGTTTAGGGCTGTGTATTTAGCCTTGATGACGGCAGTGGAGTAAGTCAGTGCCTTCAACCTGAAATAGTTAATTGCAGTGATGCTTCCTTTTAGGAATTATTTTCACTTGATTTTACTCTCAAGAAAAGTTTGTCATCTGCAGATGTGCTGAGGATATTGTTTTCCAAACAATGTCTCTTGTTTTCTTTCCTTAAGAGGAATTGTTGAGTGTAAATCTGGAAAGATCTGCCCAGCTCCCTGAATTTACCTTATTCAGAAGAGTAAGGAACCAGGTGCTTGCTTGCATTTGGACCACAGACAAGCAGAAGTGCTTCTGCTCTCTGGATATAATTTAGATGCTTGGAACAAAGACGCCAAAACCAACCAAGAATACTGTGTTCCCTGATTTCCTTAAAAGACTGTTCAATAAAAAAGAAACAAAAGTCATTTTTGCTTTAATAAAAATGTCAATAATTTGATGTCTCTGATTCCTTCTATTTTTTTTTCCTCTGAGTATGATGTTATTTTATGTCCTCTCCTTTCTTGTTCCCTGCGCCCCCCCCCCCGCTCCCCCCACTTCCCAGAAAAACCCCAGCAACTTGCGGCCATAACGTTATCCTTCCTGGCAGCAGGATCTGGCACGGAATAGCAGTGGAGACGGTCTAGTTCCATGGCATCCTGCTGTGATTGCTGCAACAGGGAATGAGTCTGGCTTGGAGACGTCGCTTCGCTCCTTACGTCCTGCTCTTCACCCTGCTCTGCTGCCTCTGAAACTCAAAGGAAGTTTGTGCCATAGCTGCGTGTTGTGTCAGCAAGAACAGGAGACACAGGAGAGGACCAGCCCGGTCTTAGGTTAAGGATGGATGGTTAAGTCAGTGATGGTGCATGTGTTAGTGAGGCAGGAGGTGCTGCTGAGTCGATTTAGGAAGACAGAGAGACTGGGTTTGGTGCTGCTGATATCAAGTTGTCCCTCCACTTCCCAAAGAACAGCTCTGTGGATGAACCATGGGGATTTTCACCTCAAGGATGCAGTGAGTGGCATAGAGCTTCCTGAAGGGAGGAAGAGCAGTGGGGAACTGCTGGGGGGTCTCCTCCTGGTGCTGCCTTTGAAGTCTACTGTGGCATGTGAGGCTATTTAAACACTTAATACTTCACACTGCTGGGAAGTGAGGCACCTGCCTTCCCCAGGCCCTGAGCTGTGACAACCGGCTGCTGGGCTTCCCTGTAGCCGGGAAGGCTTCTTGTTGTCCATGAACACTGACTGGTGCAGCACGTTCTCCTGTAATGTGTTGTGTTTCTGGCTGCACACCTAGTTCCTCCAGACAGGCGAGAACATTTGTCCTTGATGACATGAGTATGATCCAAATATGAGAAGGTTAAGTGGCTTCTTTCCTTGCTGGTCCTCGTGCTAGTTTGGACCTTGGCTCATAGAGCCAGTGAGATGCAGATGGTTCCTAGAGACTCTTGTGCATGCCCAGCAATAGTGACTGTAAAGTGTCCCCAAACCTCCTACCGTTGGTTCCTTTCTGCAGAAGGCAATTCCTTTCTCTCTACGGCCTTCCCTGCTCCAGGCATCTATGAGCAGCTACTCGCAGGCATCCTTGGGGTTTCCTGCAGGGGATTACAGCTGTGGTGAGAGCCTGCCCTGGTAGGTAATTTCTGCACAGAGCACTGACCGCATCGTAACCCTCTTGGCAAAATCCTGGAAACCCACTGGGGCTCTCCTGCTGACACTCCAGGCAGTCCTAAAGCAGTGCTGAAAAGCCTGACCACAGTATTAGGCTATTTTAACTAGAGATGGTTAAACTGGTTTTAATGTGCTGGAGGGTTGCCTGATAATAGCAAGAGTTCAGGGTTGTTCCTCTGTGGGCTGTTTACGTATTTACTGTGTTTAGACCAGGCAGGAATCCACGGTGGTGAAATGCAAGAAGATTGCATGAGACTCTTAAGTCTTTGTTTGGATGTGTATTTATGTTTTGGTACAGCACCAGAAAAAAACACCTTCTCTGGTTGCAGTGTTGCTCCATAGAAATCACAGAAGACTTCAAGAGTCTCTTAACTGGTGAGGAAGAAACAAAACAGGCACTTGTCTTTTTCCACATGAGTTCCAAAATTTTATGATACAAAAGAACTTTCTATCCAGGTCTGCTGAAAAACCTCATGATAGATAAAGAGATGAGTTTCTTCCAGTGCTTTAAGCAGGTCCTTATAGGAACTAATGAAAGAGGAAGAGAATTTCTATTGATGAAGATAACATTTCACTTTGAAATCTCTGTCTAAAATGAGATGAAGTCATAGGTGGCAATAACAACTGGACCAACTGAAAAGCGTTTGAGCCTCCAGAAAGACTTTGGTCTCATTGGAGACAACTCTTTCAGAGCAAGCTTGGGACACACCATCAGGAGAGATCTGCAAGGGCTGCACCCTCTATGCTGTGAGGGCAGGAGAGTGAGTGCATGATACAAGATAATGTGCAGTGTAGGTGAACCTTCGATCTGAATATCCAGGAATTCAGGATAGTCCAAAGTGGATTCACTGTTGACATATGTCAGCAGTTGCCCGTTCGGGTGACTTGTTCTGCCCTACCACATAGGGAGATGCAGACAGCCCTTTTGGTTCTGCCAGATGCGTTCACTCAAGACAGCCTATGTGATTTAGTCTGTGCCTGTAGCCTACTCAAATCATGAAATTATCACTTTTTCTCATTTGGCTTTCTTAAAAGCGCTGAAAAGTCTTTGCAATTTAGGCATCTTAATCACTGTCTCACATTCTGCAACTCAGGGTATCCTTTGTGCTAATTGCTGAATGAAATTGACTTCTCTTAGGTTGGAGTAAAGCTTCATTTAAACCAGAGGTGAATGTGGCTTACGTTATCTTATTGTTCTAACAGGTCATAGAAACACTTTCTTGCTCTTTGCAATTTGAACCAGTAACTGTTTAAGCTGGTAATATCCCCCACTATTTATTTTTGTTAGACCTCATGAATGTCAATAAGTGAATGACATGCATTCATCGCCTGTGCAGATTAAATGATTGGCACTTGATTTTCCGCCTGCTGCCCGTCTTTGGGGATTTCCCTTTGGGAGTGTTATTTCAGGCTCCTTTGCGCTCCCTCCCTGGTGTGTGCAGGCTTTGTAGGTCTCAGCAACTTAAGTATTTCAGGCGTTAATGCTTCTCATGTGTGAAAACACAATGTGTGTTATGAAGTGTGGTCCCATCAAACTTCTGCAAGTGTTAAACCTTAGATTGTGAAACTTGGGCAAAAACAGCCGCTTAATGTAGAGTTTTCTCTTTTTCTGGGGAGTGTATTTCTGAATGCATTGTCATATCGTGTATCCAAGGAAGCCTTGATGACAGCAGCAGTGCAAACCTACTGCGCAAGCCATTCTTTGGATCGGAGTAGGCTGCTGTTGGAAGCTCTCCTGGGTGGCTCCAGCTGATCCCTGGCACATGCACACGTGATGTAGCTCTAATCATCTGCCTATATTTACTGTGATGATGGGTAGCAGTTGAGAAAGGAAATGAGAGGCTGTGAGGAAGAATTAGCAGCAGTCCTTTAAAGTCAGGAGTACTTCCACTTCTGGAAGCACTTGTGTTGGAAGTACACTTCTTGTGTTGGGTGCTCTGTCTGTGCTGTGGGTGGGCTACACATACGGACTGCCCTTTATTCCTTGCTTTGCTGAACTGAGATCAGTGCCCTTTGGGGCAGCCCTTGTCTCCCCTGTATCAGAGGAGACCACACAAGGGCTCGCCGCATACTTGGATTCCTACAGTGAACTGAACCATAACTCAAGAGAGAGAAGTGCCCATCTTCTTCCAAGGATACGTGTAGGAAACCTACAGCTGGAACTATGTCCTGTTGCTTACCAGAGACAAATAGCAAGATGAATAGCACAAGTTTAGTCTTTGCTGCCTTAATGATGAATTGTTGGTAGCGGGGCATCGTGGAAGAGATTTGTTCCTGGTTTTGTGAAGCAATAACTACTGAAAATGTTCAGAGCAGGAGGTTGTCTCGGCTTCTTAAATGAGTTTATTAATCTTTGGCAGTCGGGAAAGCCAGGAGGTTCAGATTGCATCCCCTCGTGGGCGTGCGTGCTGGCTTGCGTGGATTTAGGGATAGATAGGGATGTAGATAGAACTGAGGAGAAATGGATGCAGCTGCGCTTGTCTGTCTTCATGCTTTCCTAAATGTTTTTTCTTTTGCGGAGGGGACTGGGAGGGCGAGGAATTACTTTAAATGTGTGACACTCCTAATGGAAATTTAACTTGTTGAAGAATTCATGGATTCACTGCAGAAAAATGCCTTTATTGTGTGTGGTGTTTTCAGTTCGTGAATCAATGTCATCATTTTACAAGGTCACTGGAAAAAGGCCCTTTTCGGAGGAAGCTCTGGCAATGTGAACCTTGCTGTTGTTTATTATTTTTTCTTTTCTTCTGAAATTAATCACTTGTTACTTTGCTTTTGGTTTCCAGGGTCTTGGTTGGTGCTCCCAAGGCAGACTCTAAATACAGCACCTCTGTTCAGTCCCCAGGAGCAGTGTTTAAATGTCGAGTCCACACCAATCCTGACAGAAGGTGCACAGAGCTGGATATGGGTCGAGGTGGGTAGTTGTGGTGCTTAAAAACATATTTATCTTGACAGATACCTTAAGTTCTGCCCCAAAGGCAAACAGCCAGAAATCCTCAGGTCCTCAAGTCACCAAGAGAGTCGCTCGCCTGGTAGATTTGGAGCACCGATAGTGAAGGTGCCTTTTTAACTCGGGATTGTGTCGTCTCCCAAAGACCATACTTGTTTTCTCCATTCATTAAGTGGGAAAAGATGATTTTTTTTTTTTAAAGATATATATAGAATATATATATATATATCTCCTTTATTCCAAGCCATTGTCTTTTCTGGCCTTGCTTCAGCGTGGCTTTTCAACATGTCCATGGGTATGTGACTGATCTAGAGCACTGCTGCCCATCCTAGGCAGTCTTGAAATGGTGTGTGGGACAGCCCCAGATGCTGTGGTGATGGGTACGTGTTGTACTGTGTTATTAGCAACATAGTAATCTGTGGGTTCCCTTGTAGTGCAGTAAATGATTCCTTTTGTTTACATCTAAAGGAAGGAGAAGTTCCTCTCAATTACTGCATGTTATCTAGATTCCCTTTGGCTTCTCTAAAGTATGGTCTGAGGCAGGAAAAGATAAGGTACCTGTTCCTAAATTAAGGGTCTGATCCAAAACGTTGTGCTGTGTGATGATGGAGAAATTTGTAATCATTAAAATTGTCATTTCTCTTGGGAACATGATTCACATTAATGCTTTCTCTGCCTATGGAAGAAGTATGTCTTTTCCTAATGCTAACCTTTTCAAAATAGTAGTTGAATAGCAACTTGCTTTTGACATGTTCTAAAGTTGTATTCATTTTGATTTGTTCTCCTGCTACCAAAATGTTAATGATCCTTTGTGACTTCATGAATACTGCCTGACAGAATTAAAGATTATTTTCTATTTTTTATTCCCAAGTACTCAAATCTCATTTTCAAGAGTAGTTTTACTTCAACTGTTTTCTGCAGGCACTTCCATGTCTCTCCTGTTGAGTTCAATTTGATTGACTATCCGAGTAAATCTCAGGCTTTACTCCTGAGTTGGGACAGAGTCCACTTTCCACTGTACCGTATGCTTGCACCATGTCTAGTAAGAATGAGAAAGGCATCCTGAAAAACGCACACAAGTAATAAAGGTGACGAAAGAGGGAAGAGGACGTCACCCATGGGCATCAATACTCTATTTTCCTATAGGGATCCTCTATGGATGTTTAAAACTCACATGTCTCTGCATTTGTCTTCTTTCTCCTCGCTCTATAGGCAATTCCCGGGGCATGCTGTGTGGGAAGACCTGTAAGGAGGACAGAGATGATGAATGGATGGGTGTGAGCTTGGCCAGACAGCCTAAGGCCGGTGGAAGTGTGCTGGTAAGTCCACTCTTTTCTTTGATCTCATTAAAAGTGCTGCTGCTGTCTGACTCTAATGCTAAACACGTCAGGATTGATGCGTTTGGTAGTGACTGACAGAGTCCAGCTTTACGGGCAGCTAATTCTGCAGTCCCTTCCTTGAAGCGGGAGGAAAATGAGCCCTGGCCAGGAAGCTTTATTTACGGAGGGACAACTTCAAAGCAGTCACACCTGACTGGTGTCACCTAAGGGCTTCCTCCTAAATCTGAGGGATTAAATCTTCGAATGGAATAAACAGAACTTTGTCTCTGAGATATCTGCTAGTATATTCCCTTTGCAGTCAGTCTGTATTTATATAGGGAGTATGTATAAAGCCTTCATTCTCTGGGAGTGTATGTATTAGACATCAGAAATTACCAGGAAAAATGTAAGAGAGGTGTTTGCAGCACTGTGTCGCCTTTCTACCTATGAAATTTCTATTAATGAGACAGAGGAGTTGAGAGTGGAGATGTCTTAGTTGCATGTGGGCGGCCTTGTTGTCTTTGAAATGGTTACCATGCAAATGGGGAGGTCAAGGAGAACAGATGGGATCCTTAGGATGTGGAATTTATCTTTGCAGAACAACATTTCCTATGCTGGAAAAAGATCATAAGGAAAGCTAGGCAATGCCTTTTAAAAATTTGTGGGTATGTTAGAATCAATAACTGTGTCTGTGCTTGTATCTGCTGCTAGACTGGCTACCAAGGACTGTGCAAGAATCTTACCCAAAATAAAAGTTTGCAACAAAAAATACCATGCATCATATTTGTGGCAAGCAAATTTTAAGTTTCTTTTGGAGTAACCCTAACAACAATCTAATCCTAAACACATTCACTGGAAACTTACCCTGTCTTTCCAGTGAGATACAAAATATCCGTGGTACATGGAACAAAGTATGCACAAATGTGCTAGTGCCAAAAAAAAAAAAAAAAAAAAAAAAAAAAAAAAAAAAAAAAAAAAAAAAAAAAAAAAAAAAAAAAAAAAAAAAAAAAAAAGTGCTTAACCACTAACCACCTATATCAGTAAGTGGAGCAAGTGTGTATTTTGACCCCAAACAATTACACTCTCACTTGCTGCACACCAGCTTTATCATGGGGAATAGCTGATTTTTACACTTTCCTGTGACAGGCAGGGATGTACTGTGGTACTTTATCAGATTTGGAGTACGACTTGCAAATGCTTTCGAGGCCGATCAGTTCAGGGTATTTTGTGCCCAGCAGTAGGGAAATGAGGAACACAGAGGAGCATAAGCCAGAAAGCAACACTCCCCTCCCCCTGTAACATTATGAACATGGGGAAGCAGAACACAGAATGAAGGCATTCCTGCTAGAAGAGCAGCGTACACAGCTCCTCCTTTCAAGGAATGTCCCAATCTGCATGTGGGTGTAGAAGAATCCCGTGTAAAAGCTGAGGAATAATGTGCATTGCTCCACCAACTTGATTGTGTCCAGAGGTTTGGGTCTAATTCTCATTGAAATCAGTGAGTTATCACTCACGTGCTCAGTCTTACACTATTAAACATATTTCTGCATCTGTGTGGAAATAAGGAATACAGATTCTTCGGGCAATCATGGGTGGAAAACACCCTGCTGTTTCAGGGTGGTGTTACTCTGTTTTAATGTGCGTGCATCTGAAATACCTTTGGAATGGAAAAGATGCATGATTTCCCTGAAAACAGATGGTTTTTAGTTCATGCAATCTTGCAATTTTAAAGATTAAGATTTCCTTATTATGCAGTTCACTGTAAAGTGTCCAAGAGAAATTCTCATTTACAGAAATGGTATTGTCTGTGTGTATGTTCTGAACCATATCTGCTGATTAATTTTTTAATGAAATTGGTGGCTGTCTCTTAGTAGTCTGGCTTTTATCTCTTTGGTCAGTATTACAGGCCAGCCATTGACCTAAGCCCAGCATTTTAAACACTTTTTGCTACCCACGTGTCAATATTTCTAATGCAACAAAATTGCTGTTGCTGCCATATGAAGTTGCCTTGCAAAGGATGCACTGCATTTTTTACGTTGTTCCTTTTCTTTGAACAAAGAAAAGGCAAGGAAATTGCTTTCTTGTCAGCCTTCCCAATTATCAGATAAAAATACTATTTTGGTGAAAAGGGGCAAAAGGAAGGTTAAAATATGCCAGTTAGTGGGGCTTAGCTGATGGCTGGTAGTGTATAGTCCATACAGCACCAGCATGTTACTGAAGCAGAGTTTTATGTTTGTGTGAAGGACATAGAAAAGTGTCTAATAATGATGATTACACCAATGAATGGCTAAGATTAGCTAAGATGTCTGGACAGATTTGCAGTTCAATGGTCTCCTGTCCTGGAGTATGCCGTCGGTCAATATTCACATTAATTTAAGTGCTGCAGCTGAGCTTGCCAGTTCTTGCCAAATTGAAATGGCAAAATTAATTCTTCAGGTTTCTGTAAGGAGAGAAACTAGAGGCACAGCATTATGACTGGCCACAGTACCTTCCACATGTGTCATTACAGTTTGTTTTTATCTTTCATTTCAAGTAGCCAACTTACTGCCAAAGGGCCAGAAAAGTGTTTGCCAAAAAGGATGGAAATGATCAGATTAGGGAAATGCTCCTGGAGGTAGTTGGGAGCCCTGGGACTGGTGGATCCAAACATGCTCTTGATGCAGCAGCTCCTTCTCTTTCGTGTCCCCCACACTTCACCTCCTGTCCTCCCAAGCAGAGCCTCCTGCTCATGATGAAGTGCTGCTGCTCTCCCTGATCCTTGCTCGCTTGTGCTCCTTTGGGAGAGATTAGGAGGGTAATTTATGGGAGTCCCTGGCAGTTTCCGAGAGATAAAATGTCAGGGAACTTACAATATCACAATCCTTTATTTATCTTTCCACATTTAAAACAAAAAAGCTTTTGGTCTGTTTCCATTTTAGTTTACATTGGAACTGAGGTAGAATTGGACGTTGCTTTAATGCTTCTCGTCTGTATGTTGCTGTCTGTGTGTGTACTGCAAGTGTATATTTGTGCTCACAGAACAGATTCCTCATCACAGAGGTGATTTCTTGACTGCTCTGAAAATAAAAGGTTTGTTTTTCCGTTAAAATTAAGGGAATTAAGGGAATTTTTCCCTTAAAATTGTGATTAAAATCATAACCAGGCTTGCTTGAAAAGGCAAGTGAGTCCCCAAAGCTGCTCTTTACAGGACTCCTAAGGCACATTTGGCTGTCAAGTGCAGTGCCATTACAAGCATCCTTCATCCTTCGTGTCATGTGTGGTGCTTGGCAGTGCAGGATGCAGCACAAAGCTTTCCAGAGCTCCCAGAACCCTTCATTATCCCTGTGCGATAACTGTCTTCAGGAAATGCATGCTTCTGGTTGAGTACCTGAGCCTGATATTTATTGCTCTTCAAACTTCCAAGTGCAGCGCTGTTAACTGTGGAGCAGGCTTGTGCATTGCGGCTTTTGCTCCATTTCAATAAAAAATAAGGGAGTAGTATTACCCTTTATGTCTTTCTGGGGTTAAGTACACAGGAAGGAGCCTGTGCTAGCGGCTGGGTTGAATTTCAGGTTTCCCAGCCGCCAGGTTTCCCAGGTCCTTCGTCGGGTAGGTGGCTCAGCTGTGTCCCGTTTGTGGAGTTTTTGCTTGCATTAGGGTGTTTGCACAGGCAACGTGCTCAGCCATGGGGCAGTGAGGCTGAAGAGTGAGGTTGGGTCAAGGGGAGGAAGGGAGAAGGTGTCCTCTCCAGAGAGGATAGTGTTAAATGGGGGGGATCACAGGGTTGGCAGTCCTCTGAACTAGCAGGCTTGGTGCAAGGTCTCCTGGAAGAGCTCAAGGAATGTGGTTAATTGCAGCAGAGACCTGGCTCTGGGCACCCAGGGCTAAGACTTGGGTGATGCAAGCTGACACATCTACGCTGCCTTCAGTGACCTGCCCCAGCCAGAGATGTGACCCAGCATGTGTTCACATTCAAAGCCTTTACTCTTTCACATTTAATTTCCTTTTATTTTGAGTAACCCTCTGGGTGTAAGTCTGTCTGCATTTGTCTGGCAGCAAGGCAGTGCTAATTTTTGGAGCAATTGGATTCTGGAGGAAGTGTGAATCGGGCTCAGTGCTGTCTGCAGGCATGACTTTGTGTGGCAGTTGTAGCATCCTGGTGGGACTGTTTTAACTCTGGTTTTGAAAGCTTATCTTGTTTTTCACTGCGAAGGAGAAAACATCTTGGTTCTTTGCACCTCATTTGCACCTTGACTCTGTTGTTACTCCCCTTGCTGCAAAATCTCTGGCATCTTCACTTAAGTTTGTTATCAGTAAGTTAGGGCCAGCCTTCCTGTCACTGGAAAAAGAAACAAACAAACATACAAAAACCCTCTCCCAGGTTACAAACCTTTGATGCATCTTCTGGTGGGTAACCTTCTAGTATGGCCTTTGTAACCCTCTGAGTCCTGGCATCCCTTCTGGTCTCCGTACACATTTTCTCCTGTTTTCCCCCCCTTTTCTGTCTTGGGGGGCAGGGCTGTCTTCACTTTAGAAAAGCTTTGCTGGCCATGAGGATTCATACAAAGTGAGGAAGAGATTGAAGTCTGGAGCACAGTCTTACTCTTCTGATGTGTGTCACTAGGAAAACATGTAAAGGCTAAGATCTGAGCCGCCAGGTCAGGTAGTGTCACAAGCTGCAGAAAATGGCAGTAAGGAGATACATCACTGAGGAAAAAAAGCAGGGTGCAAGGCAGGATGGGGAGGAAAAGGTGGTATTGGGTGATCCTGCTCCCGCATGCTGCATGCCCTGCCTTGCTCAGAGGGCTGCCCTGCTCCTCCAGGCCGCTAACCCCTGTGGTATCATCTGTTTAGGCCTGTGCCCATCGCTGGAAGAACATTTACTACGAGACGGAGTACATCCTCCCCCACGGCTTCTGCAACATCATCCCACCCAACCTGCAGCCCGCGGGCCGGAAGCTCTTGCCCTGCTATGAAGGTAAGGAGTGCGGCTGGCCTCTGCCCATATCCCCTTTCCAAAGGGTCCCTCTGTTTTCCATTTGTTTCTAAAACCGGTCTGCTGTAACCTTCACCACTGACCCTTTTCTATTTTTCTTTCTGTGCCTTGAGGCACAGCTGGGAAGGAGGTTGGTCTTTAGATAAAGTTGGGAAAAAAGCACTGTGGTTTAACCATGAATTACTGTGCGTGGCCATGCTTAGAGAAGACAAGAACAATACTTTTTTGAACTGTGTTTTCAGGTAGAAGTTCTCTCTCATCCTTGTATGAATAGAGGTAGCTTATATGAATATCAGTAGACGTTGGGATGAGCACAGACTTCGTACCATATCACAAGGTCATGGCCTCATGATAGGTGCACCACAGAGTAAATGTGCTGAGTTATGCTGTAGCTGGGCACCGATTCGTTCGTCTTGTGCACGTATTTTCTTTCTTGTATTGTGATTTAGAAGAGGAAAATGTGTTACTTAACACCTTTTTCAAGATACTTGTATGGTAAACCAGTGTAACTGCTGTTATGTTTCAGATGTTGCAAGGTGTCTGATCCTTTTTTGGACCTGTTGAGGTCTGGGTTTACACAGGTGAGGAGGGACATGGAGGGACACACAGCGAGTGAGCTCTGAGCAATGTGTGGCTGTATCTGTTGTTTCTGCTCTAAATCCCAAGTGTCGACATTTATTTTGCCAACCCTGGTGTATATGTGATTTTGTATCAGATTTCCCTTCTCAAAGGCTTCAAAAGATAGGTTCTCCTCACCCAACAGTAATTAACTTATCCAGGGGCACAAGTATGTTATTAGGAAGAAGATAGAGTATCTCTAAGATCTCTCAGCCCGTAGCAAATCACTCAGGAAAACACCTTCTTGGGTTTCTTCTGTCTGTCTCGGGCATCATCTTTCAGTCTCAGGCATCATCTATCAGAGCCTGAGAAACTATAGGCCCTACACAAGCAGGAAGTGTAGGGTTTGATGTGGGCAAACCTGGTTTTTTTTCCCCAGAGTAGGCAACAGCCGGTGATAGCCTTGCTGCTGACATTGGTAGGTGGGAGAAGGATAGCATGGAGGATGTTCCCATGGCTTCCTTCCACCGTGGGGCTGGGTGAGACCTGATGGAGGGCAGGCTGCTCTGCTCCAAGCCCTCTGCTTCTTTTGAGGACATTTCTCACCTCATTGGAGTTTTGCTCCAGATCCTGTGGTTATTTTGACCCAGCTCAGCCAAGGTGAAGCTCAAAGCAAACTGGGATGAACTCTGGGTTGAAGAGACAGTCTGAAAAGGCAGGTTTTAGCTCTCCACCCTTCACATACAGAGCTATCACAGATTTCCCTGCAGAACTGTGGACCTTCATATATATATATATATTCATATATATATATTCATATATATATATATTCTCATATATATATATATTATATATATGAAGGTCCACAGTATATATATATATATCAATATATCTGCCTGAAGACAGCAGACACTTGTGTGTTGAGCCTTTTCCAGCCCTGAAATTATTCAGTCTGAGGGGTTTTGAGTCTTTCCTGAAGCAGCCATTCCAGCTGATCTGCAGCAAAATGCAAGTGAACCATGTAGTCTTCCTATTTCCAAACCATCCTATTTTATTTTTTCTTTGTTCTTGTTAGCAAAACCGGGTGGAGGCTTCATGCTTAGGTCATGCAGTGTAAATCATGTGATATTAACTTCGATGATCACTGCGGATGACTGGAGTCACTTCCAGGGCTTCCTGCGCCCCTTTGTCATCCTTCACTCTTGTGTCTTCATAAAAACTGCCAGCCTGGAATCACTGAAAGAGACACACGGCTTGTGTTTCTCTGTGCGTCATGTCTTCAGAGTAAAACTCTTGCTAATCTGACAGGATATTTGCCAGGAATTGCTAGAAAATAGAAATGTGTGGGCCTAGTACACGCGAAGCAGCCAGTGGAAAATTGGCAGGGCTGGTGCAGCACAATGTTGGCTTAATTTCACTGTATGCTAGCATGAGAGCTGGAGGTTTGGGATTGATTCTTCCTGCCTACTTTCAGACATCAAGCCGCGAAATATCACCAGGGATGACTGGATTCGTTTTCTTGTGAAACTTTTAGGTTTCAATAAAACAAGCCTAATCCTCAAAGCAAGGGATAGCTGGGATCCAGAAAGACTCCTTGCTCAGAATTCAGCACAATCATTTTACAGCTACCATTGTCTTGTTATTTTGACATCTCCTTCTCTCTAGTAAAAGGAAACTTTCCCCTCCGTTTTGTAAGAAAACAGGGGAAAAGAGGGATGCTCCGAAGGGATGTTCAGTTGGCTGAAGCCATTGGGTCCCATGAGAGGCTGATGTGGCACCGTGGTCTGCAGCCACGGCCGTCTCTCACCTTGCTGGCGAAGGCCCCTTGGACCGTGTGCGCAGACGCACATAAATACGGATTATGAGCTTGTATAACCAACACTGGTGCCAAAACGGAGAGCGGTCTGACCTTGGGATAGACGCACTTCATGTGTACGGTATGTTTTTCTCCACATGAAGCGGGCTTAATAATTAAAGGCGAGAGAGGAAATGGAAATTTCCTGACTGGGTGGTAGTGGTGCGGCAGCGTAGTAGCCTTAATCCATCTTGTTCTTGTCCAGTTTCCCTGAAACAGTTGACAGAAGTCTGGAAGCTGTTGAGAGCTAATGAGAACAGCAGCAAGCCTAATGGTTAAATGCAATTTTTCTGAGTAGGAACTAATCTGGTTTATATGAGCTGCATGTGCTTTGAGCTATAGCTGAGGCATGGTTTTCCAGGCTATGCTTTTACTCATTTTTGCTCTTATTTTTAATGGCCTGCAAGACCAGGAGGTGCCTGTTCACTGCCCCGATAGGCCAAGGGAAAGGGTGGCTGCTGCTCGTGTGTGGGATGGCCCAGCTCTGTGGGGAGAGAGGAGATAGTTTCCAAAGCCCTTGTGGTTGAGCTGGGGAATGCTGATGGGCACTTTGGTTAGTAAATGAGGGGACCAGTGCATGCTCGCACACCTTCCCTCCGAAGGGATAAGCATGTTTGCCCACAGGATCCAGACCACATTTGGTTTTCCGGGAGCCATCGAGACTGCTTTGTGGTGTAAACCCAACACCACAGCGCTGGGCCTCCAAGATTCCCACCGCTTCCTCCCAGAGCAGTGAAACCCTGCGAGATATGAGAGAAGAGGTCACAATTCAAAAGGATGGTTTTGGCTTTCAGTGCAAAAGGTGGTTTATTGCAGCCATCCATTTGGCCATCCGTGAAGATGGTAGATAGAACGTTTTCAAGGGTATTATTGCACTGTGGAGCTTACGCTGTATTATGGTCTTGTGGTTGGCTTAGAGACCTCTTCTCTCCTCTGTATCAGAAGAGGTCGTGGAGTGCTGCCTTCTGAATCATGCTACATGTCACAGTTTATCCAAAATGTTTATTATCTGTTTACTTCTTCCTCAGCTTTCATAATGTAAGGTCACACTGACTACAGAACACTGCCATCTTTGCTGGCTTGCTTGCTTTCTGCATTTATTCATGACATATTTTAAGAGTCACGAAGGAACTCAACTGTCAGCCGCTGTCACTTCTGTGTGCTATCAGCTCTTGTGTCGGTAGTTTTGTATATTGTGGCCTGTGTAAGCCACAGATGGAGGGGGAGCAAAGACAAGGAAGTGTAAAACCAAAGGCTCTGCTTGTCACAGTAATTTTTATTGTCTGGAGCTACCTGGAAGTTACTGAGCCCACTTTGTGCACTATTTAAGCCTCATGCAATATCCAAGCCTCATGTAAATATTGATTTCTGAGTGTGCAAAAGATGTGATCTGACTTAGTTACTGCATGGTCCTCTGCTGATCTTCTCAGTGTACTGATGGATGGATGGATGGATGGATGGATGGATGGAGGTCTAGCATGTGTGAGGGAGGTCACTGCTATGTCCTAGAGAGGCCATCTCCTGTAATGGAGCCTGGAGGAGTTGGAGGCCTCCAGGAAGCTCCATGGGACAGTGGTGTTTGGATGGCTGACAGCATGAAGATGAAGGCTAGTTTTATACCACTGTAGTGAGTCAGTTTTGTTTTAATAAGCTTTAATTTTCTCTGAATGAACATTTTCAGATGTGTTTTCAAGTCAGTGTTTTAATGTCCCCTTTCAGTTCACAAAAGCAGTGGCAATAGGCAAACTCAGAATTCACTTGAAATGTTGCAGTCTGGATACAACCAGAGTGTAACTGGTTATTTAAATGAAAGGTTGTGCCATTTGTACTCACAGTACAGATAGCACTAGTAAGTGACTTAAGAACACTAAATATCACAAAAAGCTATGAACTTTGTTAGAGGATAAGCCTCATTGGAGGTACTGAGTGCACAACCATTTAAACCACTAAATCTTTCCCATTCCTTACACATTGCAGTTAGTAATCATTCACCTTGTGTAAAGAATTATTGTTCTTCCCATTGTCTGACAGTGTAAACAATAATGTGTGTGTTGCAGTTCTTTCTCTGATAAGTATGTTACAGATGAAGATCAGCTGTGTTGTGCTGCTTTGATGGCCTTGTTTCAAATTACCCCTAGATCTGATTTTTTTTTCCCATTTTCTTTTTTTCATAAAGTAGACAACATTATAACATAATAAGAAATCAAGCCACAAATTTATTTTCTTATTGACTTTAACTTGACTGATTGGAGAAATAGTTGGTCTTTGTTTGCAAGTAAATTCAAGGATAGCTTATGCAAGCTGGATCTTTTACAGATCCTTTGCAGATTCCGAAGGGCCATGATTTGGAGAATGCCCAGGCCTCAGCAAAGAATATGGGCAGACTGATTTATGGGGAAGTGTTTGAGGTCTTTGTTTGTGCTACAGAAGACTTGATGTAATGGCCAATTGGATATGCATGGTGCTGTGTAAATAAAAAGCTTAGTAAAATAGTTAAACCATCATGGTTTGTGAAAAAGCGTTGGAAAGTCTGTTTATAAAAGAAAAGGAGAAATTTGAAAAATCCAAAGTAAATTTAATTTGCCTGTCATCCTGTGCACTGCCATCTGATATAGTTATTTCGTTATTTGCCAGACTTAAATCTTTCACTGCATAAACTTAAATATTCTATGGCAATTTTCCTCCTTTATTTTAAGATGGATTGTACTAGGTATGTTTTGAAGGATACACTTAAAGAAACTGTAAGCCAACTCCCACACAATTTTTTATAGTGAGATATATCATTTTAGTTATAAATATATCAAAGTGCCAGCAAGACTCATGTGGAGCAGTCAGTTACAGACCTGCCATGGCAAGACATACAGGTTTGCTCTCATATATATCAATTAAGAAAAAGAAGTCCTTTTGGCTGGTGTTGCCTGTGAAGGGCTAACCACATTTGAAGGAGGTTGTTGCTGGCACTGTCTGGGAGTCAGTGCTGGAGGTCCTGCTCTGGATGCAGCTGCATCAGCAGTGGCCTTGAGATATATACATATATATATATAATTTTTTTTTTTGTGGTTTTGCAGTGGGTTTGCGGCTGTGGGACAAGGGTTGATCCGATTCCTCCTAGCTGTTCATAAACCAAGGATTAAGTGAGCTCAGCCACTAAAATATCTTTTGCTTGTGGAACTGGTCTCTCTCGTTGAGGCTCAAAGCACACTGGTGTGCTATGTGTGTTTCTGCTGGCTGGAAAAGGAAGAAAACAGAAAGAATAATTAAAATAGAGTTTAGAAGGGCAGTTGTTGTCCCTAAAGCTATGAGTCTCCAGGGCTGCAAAAGCCTCCTGCAGGGAGGATGCCATGCAGGGTGGTTGTGCCCTCTTTGGGCTTTGGAGGCACTCTGTGTTTTGTTTTGAATGCAACCCATGTAAGCTCTTGGGAATAACCATGGATCAGGTACAAAGTTGGGAAAAGGAAAGATTTTATTCATACTTGAGCAGATCATGCACTTTGGTTGGAAGTGATTGCATCTGAGTTGGACAGATGAGGAACTTGCTGTTCTTCATCCTATTTAAGGATGAAAATCTTGCTGTAGCAAAAGCAGTGCCCTTTGGGCATACATGGCATTATTTTTCAGGAAATGCCACGAGGGGAAGCCTTATCTGCAGCTCCCTGAGTAGAGCTGTACACAAAACTTTTCCAAGCAAGGAATGCCTGACTCCATTAGAGACTACAAATGCAAAGCCAGCATTTGAGCCTAATCACTTTCATTATAACCATGAGATGAGAGATGGTCAACTCAGCATTGGCTTTATTTTTGGGTTTTGGGGGGTTCCTGTCATGTATTTTCATGGTGAAATCCAAGTGCTGCATGTGGTCCATCTGACCTGTTGGCGAGTCAGGGCAAAGCTGATATGAGTCCCCATGGCCAGTGGTGTTGGGCATGTGCTGCGTGTTGAGGGGCAAGTCTCTATTCTCTGCCTGGTCTGGCCCGTTAAACCCTCCCTCTGTCTACAGCTGCTGTGACTTCAGCAAATTACTAAAATTACAAGATCTTTTAAGATGCTAGGAAGAGGCTTGTTGGCTAACTGATTAGATGCTTAGTGTTTTCACTCGTATAAATGCTCAGAAAAGATTACTTTAAAATTGCATCTTTTCAGTGTACTCTGTGTGTATATAGATATATGTTTGTTTATTTATTGAAAAAAAAAATCTATGAGGAGGTAGCAATCTGTTTTTAATTCCTTTTGGTCATCAAGATAATAAAATACAGCTCACGAGGAATGTACTTGGTTCCAAAGAGGGGATATGGTGATAACATCATGAAGATCTGTTATCATTCAGCAATGAGTTAATGATGAGTATAAAAAATAAAGATAAGGAAGCTACTGGGATATAGGGTGAGTGCATCCTGAAGGGCGAGCCGCAGGCAGCTGGTGTGGCCCCAAGTGCCTGACTTGTTTCCTTCCCTTCTTCTCCCCGCCAGAGTACAAGAAGAAATACGGGGAGGAGCACGGCTCATGCCAGGCTGGCATCGCGGGCTTCTTCACCGAGGTGAGCGGGACGCGTGGGCTTTCCTGACTCCTTTGTTGCTGTTTTAATCTTATTTTTGATTCATCTATTTTTCCCCATGTGCACCAGGGAAGGGAACCAGAAAATATGACTTCAACAGCTGGCTATGCAGCTTAGCACATTTCCTTTGTGCTGTCCTAACTTTAATAAACAAGGCGAGCAGCCACCTATCCCTTAATGTTTTCTGCCCTCCCACGGTTCTGGGTGGGGATTTTCATGTTGCCCAGTTTGTACAGAGTGATTTGTGTGGAGAAGGATTTGTTTTTTTCTTTTAAGGCCCGTGGAAAAGAATGAATGAATCAACGCTGAAAACTCTCCTCAAGGAGCATTTTGTAGTACCACATAGAGCCCAGATAGTCTATCAAATATATCTCCAAACTTGCATAGAGGTTTTTCTGTGTCTAAGTTTAACTCCTAAATTCTGGGATATGTATGATGTACTCCCCAAATGGTTTTCTTTTTGCGTATCAATTCAGTTTTTAGAAAGAGTTAGAGAACATTTGTCTTTCTCCTTCAGATCTTGCTGTTTCTTACTTTCACCAAATATTAATTTATTCTCTCATGTTGGTGTTGGTATTTATTTTAAATTTTAAATTTTCAGGGAGAAAAAAAGCTCTTTCCAAATCAAATTCTTACTTGCTCGATCCTGGTTATAGATGCTCTGACCTGCAGAGTTTGTCCGCGTTGATATAAAGAGAATCAGGGTGTCCTCTCTGGGGTGGAATTTGGTTTCTGTCCCCGTTCCTTCAGTCCTCCTTTGGTTCTGCCTCTCGGTGCCTCAGCCTGAGGCGATGGCAGCTCCAGCGCGTCCAGGCCAGGCCCATCTCCTTCAACAGCAGGAGATGCAGATTAATAAATAGCTTTTGGAGTCAAACAGACAAGTCCCCGCTGCATTTTCAGCCCTGCCATTGGAGCCAATAGGCAATCCCGTGACCTCCAGGGCTGCTCCTAAGGGGAAAAAAAAAATTATTTAAAAAGAAAAGTGAAAAAAAAAAAGAAAGCTTAGGAGGAAAAGCAGGTTCCCATTAGCTCCAGCGCTAGGGACTTTAGATAGGTCTAATGCTCTCCAGGCTTAACTCCCTCCTGTGCTGGAGGAATGTGAGCCACATCTGCTGCTCCTGGAGGAAGGCTCCCTCACAGATATAGGAGACGCTTTGGGGCAGTGTGTTCCCAATCAAGCCCGTTTTGTTGTTCTGGTGGACAAACAAATCCTGTGCAGAGCCAGGACTTGACCCTGGCTGCTCCTCTGGACTGGCAGTCATTCCTGCTGGACTGTGGGGAGTGTTTTGTGGAAGTATTTTGCTCCCAAGTGAGCATCCCATGGCACATGTGCTGGAGAGCCTGTCTCAGCCAAATGCAGACCCATTTTTTTTTGGGGTGTTTAGTCTTTCATGATGCCCTGATTTGTTGGTTCCCTGGGGAGAAAACACGAGTACACCCTGCATATTTGTCTCCTCTCTTGGGATTTTTTTCTATACACAATTGTTAGCCAAATTTTTTTTTTCTTTTTTTTGAAGTGATGATATCATTCATTGAAAAAACTAGTCATCTCCTTCTGTAACCAGATCCCTGCTGATGAAAATGTGGTAATGCAGACACCTTGAGGGGTGTGATTGCCCCGTTCCATTACCATGTGAGGCAGACTGCAGTTTTGTGCTGATGCTTGCTCTTTGAGAGGGAAAAGTGTGGGTACCACATTGCCAGAAACGAGGGAGAGGGCTGTCCTGTGCAAGCCGACCACAAGTGATTGGAATTAAAAAATGCACATTAAGCACTGCAGGTCAGTGCATTGGTTCTCAAATCATTGGTGTGAGAATACTGTTTTTTTAGAACATCCTGAAGTGAGTTTACCTATTTATCTGAATTTCACTGTTTGAAAAACAGAGCAGAGCAAGGTGATTTTCTTAAAAATTTGAAACTGGGAAAAGGAAGAAGAAGAGTTTCCCATCTTTTTATTGTGCTTTCCTGGAAAACATGGTCATTTTTACATCTTAAGACCTGGTAGTTGATAAGGTGAATTCACATTGTTGGCAATTGCTGGGAGAAAGGAACCCTACCCCACCTTTTATTTTTTATTGGTATTATTGTGTGCTTTCTTTGTGTGGGAAAGAGCTCTGAGTGCTGCATACACATCTGTCCTCGTGATGGGAGAAAGACGGAGGAAAAACTAACCTTTTTATACCTATATGACGCCTACTATAGGTGCTCAGGTTGCGACTTGCATTCAGGAGTGGCCAGGAAAGGTCGCCTTGGAGGATATCGAAATGGGAGCACATCTTGAGGCAGTTGCTTTTCTTCAGAGATGGCTGGTTCTTTTAATGGGCTGATATAACCTCCTGCTCCTGCTCTCACCCGAGCAGCGCAGCTAAATCATCAAATGTTACTCTCAGCTTTCTCAGCTGTGCTTGGAGCTCGGCCAGCAATTTTGGCATGAGGATTTGACTTGGAGCTCACCTTATTTTCCTCTCCCCACCTTCTCTGTTGTGACTACCGTTTAATCTTTCTGTGGTATCTTTGCTGCATCTTCGCTTCCCTCGCTCCTGACTTCTCCTGATCCTGGGAATGACGGGATTTTTTTTTTCCTTGGGTGTTGATTTATTCTATTTCATTTTATTTTTATTTAATTCCAAAGTGTTGTTATGTGCAAGCTTTTGTCTTTGAATGTCTTTGAATGTGTTTCGGTGATCTCAGTTCAAACATTAAAAATGTTAAAAAAAAAAAAGATCAGATTTTGCCCAGTTTCCGTTTTTTCCATGCCTAAATTGATCTGGGTGTCTAGAATCAAACATAGTAGGGTTTGCTCTCAGAGCAGTGCATAGTTTGTATATATCTATATACTATATATATATATTTATTATACATATAATATAATTATTTATAATATATATAATATACAATATAATTATTTATTATATATATATAATTCTGAGGAGAGAACACAGCAAAATGTTCTGTCTTCAAAATATGCAAACCCTGTGCTTTGAGTGCATGGCAGATTTTTAGCTTTATAGTCATAAAATGAACATCTTTCATGATACCTCCCACCACTGTTCCCAGCTTCAGTAGGTGTAGAGCATTGCCAGATTCGAGGCATGGTCTCTAATGGAGGGAATCTGGGCATGTTGATGTTTCCATCACGTGGTGGAGGCCCTCACTTCTGCCTGGGGCTCCTAGGAAAATGCAGCAGTTGGAGAGTCATGTTTTGGGAAAGACCGTGGGAGCAGGGCTGAGTGTGATAGCTAGTAAGGCCGTGGATAGTCAGGGTGTGTGGCCCTGGGTTTGGGAATAGAAATGCCATCTATGAGCACAGAGAATGATCATTTTTATAGATGGACTAATTAGTGTTTTAAGTTAATATCTTCTCCCCTTTCCCATTGCTCCATAAGGCATGAATTCCTTCTTGGTTTTGTTTTTCATCCTTCTCACTGCTTTCTGTTTTCTCCCTTTTGCAGGAGCTGGTCATCATGGGGGCACCAGGATCTTATTACTGGACAGGAACCGTCAAAGTGCTGAACCTCACTGACAATGTGTATTACAAGCTGAACGATGATGCCGTGATAGCCAGGCGATACACATACCTTGGTGAGCTGCTCACGGTGGGAACGGGATCTGCTCAACAGCCTCGTTCAGGGCTTGGACATCATAAAGCTGCCACTGGTGGTCTGTGGTGGTGTAGTGTCTGTTAAGAAAAGCATGAAAGGAAGAATGGTTGGATTAAAGGGTTACTGATCAGAAGGTGTATATAAGAAGCAGCCAGAATATTATCTTTATTTTTATTAAAAAAAAAACAAACTTCACATTTTTAGCAAAATGTTTGGATAGAGAAGCCATGTGGCTGGTCATGAGCTTCCTGCATTCCTGTTTTTGCCCTGTGATGGACATATTATGTGTCACGGCTTAGGCTGTGTGCCTCATTGCTCTGCCTGTAGAATGGGCACAGTGTAATAACCTAAGAGTGTATTGCAGGGACTAATTTATTTGAACAAAAAATAACCATGACTTATAACAGAAGGAGACTGTGAAAGGATTTTCTATAGGTCTGAAATTATCTTTGATGTTAAGACAATAGATTTTACTTCTAAAATCAGGTAACATCGCAAGTGTAATTAATGTATAGGTTTTCTAATCTCTAATGCCTAGGACAATTGAGAATGAGGAGATATTTTTAGCAGATCGTAGTTTGATATTGTTTGACTGAAGACTCATGGTAACCTCTTCTCTCCTCCTTCTCCCCTCCTGCCCTTAACCTTTAGCCTTAAAAAAGAGAGAACCACTTAAAAGCTACTGTTTGGAGATGGTAAATGAGGAGCATATATATACATGTAAGGACATATATAGGTTTCACCACTGGTAGACCTGAGTTATAGTGTTTATCGTGTAGACAAGAGACTCATAATTCAAAATGGAAGAGCAAGTTCCATTGACAGCCTAGGGCAGCCTTAGAGGGAAAATATTCTCTTCTTTAGTTGTTATATATCATTTTAACGTAACAAATAAGACCCAATCTTTGATCTTCTTTCAAATACACTTTCTTTCTTTGATCTGCCCTCTCATTTGTCTTCTTGTCTAAACAAAAATCTTCTTCAGCCATTAGCTTTTCTGACCTCTTTGTCTGTCCCCTGCTCTCCCCCAACCAAAAAGGCACTTAATTTTCCGAGCCTTTTTGGGCAGTGGTTTTTAACGGAAGGTGAACTCTTTCTAGCTGACATGAATATCACTCTGTGATATTTCTCTTCATTGATGTGGTCTCTTCATTCTGTTTGTGCCTGTGTCTGAGTACATGTTTTTATTTTATTGCTTTCCTTTCCTTTCTGCATCTGGATTCATGGTTACTTAACTGTTCCCCATATCCTTTTTGCCTCTACCTGCTCCTTGCCAGGTTTCTCCCATACCTTTGCTCTTCTGGCTTTGGGAAGAGGCCGGAGAGCTTGCAGTGATTTCCTGGGGCTGATGTGCTCAAGCCAAACGTTGGCACATCCTGGACAAAACAGTTGTATGACATTAATTCTTAGGAACTGTGAAAACTGATGAGTAGGATCCAGATGGCTGTTCCTCTTTCCTTTTGTGACTTATTTATTTATTTATTCATTTATTTTCTCTCTCCTCTGCCATCCCAACCCGTCTCCCGCTCAGGATACGCGGTGACAGCAGGTCATTTCTCGCAGCCCACAACCACGGACGTTGTAGGAGGAGCTCCCCAGGACGGAGGCATCGGAAAGGTGTGGCTTTTTGTCAAACAATAACGTGGTCAGAGGCAGCTGGGAAAAGAAATAGCATTGTTCAGTTCCCACAGGTTTGAAACAACAAGAGATTTTTGCCTACCAAGTAATTTTAGAGCCCTGTGCCCCAAAGGGGAGAGGTGAGGTCGTTGGATGAAATCATTGAATTTCTCCACCTGTCCCTTCTGGTGCTTCACCTTCCTCCTCCCTCCCTTTCCTCTCTCTCCCACTCAATCCTCAAAATAGTTATTTTAAGAAGACACTCACTGCAAACCTGGCCATACTGAGTGCCTGGCTCCACCGCTCGCCCTTGCATGTGAGGGATCCTCAGTTCCTCTGCCTGCACAGGCATCTGCTGGGAAGCAGCCTGGGATTTCACACGTGGAGCGAGCCCAAGTTTCTGCAGAAGCGGGTCCCTTTTTACAAGCCATGTGTTTGTAGGTTTTGGTTACAGTACGAGACCTGCCACTGAGTTCTATCAATATTTCTGTCCCTGCGTATTCCTGGTTAAACAGTTTCTCCGACAGAAACAAGCAACAAGTGGACTATGTTTGGATAGTTCACTGCTTTACAACTTACTTCCCATCACCTTTTATGTCCATACTGGGGAATGTACAGTCCTTACGTTAAGAGTCTCTTTGCTTTTGTTTAGCTTAAGAAATTTCTTGGGCTTTATCCAAGCTTTCAAGCTTTCCCACCACTCTAATGGCAAAGCCAGCGACTCTTGACTTTACCCACGGTGGCTCATTTGCCATCTTGTATCCATCAGCCTTGTATGAATCTTGTAAACCGTAGTAAATGAAAGGGGAGCCATCTGCAAGTAAACCTTGGGCTCAAAGCTGCCGTTTATGAATGAGTAACTGCAAACAATAGTGAAATTAATTTATGTGGCAAGCAGCCCAGAGGTAAAGATCAGTCACATTTGGGGTGAGCTTTCGTATAATTACACTGGGAGGTCCTAATCCTCTATAAAGAGAACCGTTTTTATGCTAACACAGCCAGCAGGAGTGAAATTCGCAGTGCTGCTGTTTCCCATCCTAACTTACAGATGGCTTCAGGCGGAAACGGCGCATGTGCATTTGCTGGCCGCCTAGCAAAAGCTGGAGCAGAAACTCCTAAAGTGTCCTCATCTTGGCCGTGCAGCGTGTGCGGGCTGCCCCTTCCAGAGGGGGAGCGTGGCCAGGGCCGCTGGGACCGGGTTGTGCCTGTTTCACCCATCCTCGAGGTGCCAAAAGCACCAATGCTGTGCTTTGTAGCTAGTATTGCTAAGTATGAGTTAACTTTTTTCTTTTTTTTTTTCACTTTTCAGGTTTATATTTTCAGAACAGACAGGCGGTCGAGCTCCTTAATAAAGATTTTCCAGGCTTCCGGAAAAAAGGTGAGCTTTTTTAGCATGCTTGTGTTCATTCTGGGGGGCAGGAGATAAGGGGAAATAGTGGCAGGGTTGTCCTGGAGAATCACTTTTAGTGCACTTCTTCATGGCTTGTGAAGATAATTCTGTTTCTCCTTATTTTCCCAGAAGATTTAAACCTGTTGGGCAGACCAGGTGTAGTTGGCTGATTACAGACTCCCCATTCCAATTTTTCACTGTCTTGGGGTGCTATTAGAGCTAAGCTGTTTTGTTGAGGAGCATCAAGAGGGAATGATTTTTCCCTCTTCCTGTCATGAATCAGCCCTGCCTGCTGCTCTTAACATTAATGCCTTAGACTTAGGGGGAAAAAAAAAGAAAGAAAGAAAAAAGTGGATTCCAGTGAATTCCAGCTCCCCTGTGGGGTTTGTGTATGAGTGGGAAACCCTTCTGCCCCCAAGAGCCAAAGAGAGACCTTGAATGTTCAAACACTCTTGAGAAGCTGGGGTAGGTGGAAGTTGCAAGGACACAGAGCTGGATGTTTTAAGGTCTTTCCACAGTTTCTCTTGCTCTGCCCCAGCAGAACTGCAGACCTTTTGAAAGGAGGAGACCTTCCAGCTCATCCAGGACATCTCCTGTGTTTGATTGCTTCCTGTTCATTTCTTCCCCATTGACTTTTAAATGGCCCTGAGGATGTGCTCTGGGAGAGTCCTTCCTCAGCCTCATAAACAGAACTATCAGGAAGTTTCCAGGTTTCAGCCAACAACTTTCCTTTTTAAATTTAACTGTATTACTCTTGTTTCTAACTTAAAAACTTAAGCATTTACATCCTTTGTATACTTCCAGACTGTCACCTCCATCTTCCCCAGTAGTATCTGTCTTCTATGGATTTTACACAATCCAAACTGAAGGTTATTTTGAGAGAAGCTGCCCCAACTCACCTTTCTCTGCTCTGTGGTTGCAATATCTCCAGGCGTGCTCGGCAGTCAGCACTGCTTGGCCGTGAGCTCCCACAAAACCCTGTGTGAAAGTTCATTGCTGGGATATTTTGGTCACACAGGCACTAAAAGCAGCATTCTTTTCCTTCACTTTTTTTCTTGAGAGGGACTGAACAAGGAAATCAAATGCCAAAAACAAATGCAATGCCATGTTCCAAATGTTACGTGCACAGACTTCAGGTTCTCACAGTATCGTGAACTTACCCATGAACTGCAGATGTGTGATGTTGCAGTTGGCTAAATAATAGCCTTTCCCTGAAAACTGCCTGAATTCATAGTGAAATGTTTTTAAGAACTTTCACTCCTTACCCATGAGAATTTTGTTTTAAAACACTGGTGGATTAAAAAAATAAACAAATAAAAGATCCACAAGGGGACTTGAGCTACAGAATAACTAGAATCAAATGGTATTTGAGGTCTGACCTTAAACCCGCATGGACACAAAAATCTGTATTATAAACTGAAACTCTATCCTTAACTTACCCCACTATATATATTTAGCAACTTTTAAATCTGGCAGACAGTGAAGGACAGAGGTGCTGCTGCTCATCTCCTGTCAGTCTCCACAGTGCTGGCTCGAATTAAGTGGGTTTTGCTCTGTGACAGAAATTAGGAACGAGGAATTTAAAAATATGCAATGAACGCAGGATTCGTTCTTTTTAACCTAAATAATTACTTTGTACCCTCATCTTTTTCCTGATATTTAAACAGCTTTCAGTCTCAAATGTGAAAGGTTATCTCTTTATTTATTTATTAATTCGTTGTATTTAAACTAATTTTACATCAAACAGCTCTAACAAAAGATTGGATGTAACTTAGCTTTTTCTGTACCAGTTAAAGACTTTCTATTGAAAGTTATCTTTCCACAGCACTGTGAGTTGTGTGTGTTATGTGAGAGGAAGGGCTAATGTCAGCCCGTGACTAATACCTCTGTCTGAAGGTTGCAGAGAGACAAAAGGGAGGGAGAGAAGAGAAAAAAATATCCCTCAGAGTAGGGATGATTTTTAGATAGCTCTTTTTTGAGAGATATTTATTTATTTATTTATTTGTTTATTTATTTGTTTATTTAAAAGGAGGGGGCAGGGTATCCACGAACATCTGGCCTACCCAACTTCAGGTCCCTTTTGGAAATCCACATGAATAATCATTCATCAGGGCTGAAAGTCTTGATTTGGGAAACGCGTTTCACCTCTTCCTGGTCTGAAGTACTTGACAAGTGAAAGCCAGTCCTAGGAAGCTCTTTAAATGTCTCAGTTCAGCACGTCCCACTGTGTGTTATTCCCCATATAAACTGTGCAAACTAATGTGCTGTTACAGTAAAGTGTTTAATTCTTGCCAGAAGTATCCCTTAGGATTTCTGTGTAGGGCTGCTTGTGAGTGATAAAGCAGCAAGTCGTCCTTTGAAATTACAAAAAAAATAAGAAGAGAGTTGAGCCTAAATGATTTCCTCCTGTGTGTGGGCAGATACTGAACGCTTTGTTGTGACTCGGCTTGGTTGCAGATGGGCTCTTACTTTGGCTCCTCCTTATGTGCAGTTGATCTGAACTCGGACGGACTTTCAGACCTGCTGGTCGGAGCACCGATGTTTTCCGAGATCAGGGACGAGGGTCAAGTCACAGTCTACATCAACAGAGGCAATGTGAGTATGTGCAGGAGATGAATTGGAAGGGGTGAGGATGTGGGCCTGGGTGGACCGATGCTCCTGTGGCCCCAGTGTTGCTTGGAGAAACTCCCTGTCTCTAGTGGTGGCATTTTGGGTGTCTCCAGCAAATATGAAGTCATGGAAAACTTGTCTGCTATCGTGTTCTCCCAGATACCAGCCCACATTCATTACAGAGCTGTGAATCTTTTGAGGAGGTCTGGGAAAGCTGCTGGTTCTGTGTTGAAACTTGGCGCTGTTTGTGACTTTGTGTAACTTGGATGCCAAAACTGAGGAGAAGTCAGCGGCTTTGACTGGGTTCTGCTTTGTGTTTTGGGTAGTCATTGGAAACTGCAAATTGAGAAAAAAGCTGTGAGGATTTGGGAGCTCCTGTGAAGGGCAATCAAAAGTTAAATTTGTGCCTTCTTTACATTATGTCTTTTATGAAAGACTTTGATTCTTTGATTCTTGATTCTTTGATTCTAGCTGAAACTGTTGAATTTCATATGACCCAGTGGCCGTCTTGGAAAAGCCTGAGCTTTCTTGCATCAGCAAAAACAACATCATTACTATAGTGTATTTATAGGAAGACAATGATTGTTCGCTTTTATTTAGTATTTGGGTCCCAAACCTGCTGCCTCAGTGGGATTGTTGCTGCAAACTGAAGTTAAATTGGTTTGTATTATTAGTATTTTAAGAATTCTTATGTAGGGAGGTTATTTCTGCATTCATGCAGAAGTCCTATAGACAGCATTTGAGAGACTTCAAAATTGCTTTTGGCGTGATTTTATCTTCAATTATGAATATTCCTGTAAATGAGTCTTATCTTTTCAGCTACATCCACAGCTTAGCCAACTTTTTATACTGCAGCATTGCTGTTAGTCCATCAAAAGAGGATGCAGAATGTGAAAGATAATAACCTGCCTCCAGTGAGAATGTACTTGAAATATTTTTTGGTGTTTTTACTGTGTAAAAAAGACCAATCAAGAAGTTAATAGGAATTCATTTTACTTCCTTTAAGAAGGAAGTAAAATTACCTTTGCTTCCTTGCAGTGCATTGGAGAAAAATTCACTATAATACCAGGAGGCATCATGATGCTTGGTTTAATGTGCTTCCATTTTTCCCCTTTCCTATGAAGACTGCAAAGAGACAAGTTGCACATCCAGGCCTCCCCAGCTCCCCTCTGTTGTGTTTCAATTTCAGTATGTGGGATTTTCTTGAAGTCAGCAATTCCCCGCAGCCAAGACAAGGATTTTATTACATGTTTCAGAGGGTATTTTACCCGCGTTCACAAAGGAAGGCAAAACAAAACAAAACAACCCTTGAGGTGGATACAAAGTTGGGTTGCATAACTGAATTTTGTTTTCTTGTGGAAATGTTGCTTCCCCCTTGAGGAAACACTGCAAGAAATGAAAGCTTATGGATCTGACCCGAAAGTGGGTGGGCAAGAAATACCAGATCCTTACAAGACTTCTCATGGCATAGGGGTACAAAGCTGCTTGTATTTTGAACTTTTCCCTTTCTCTTTATTTCATTAAATCTCCTTATTCTTCATTTCAGACAACTCTTTTTTGGGGAGGTTGCTTTAATCTTTCTGTCCACTGCTTAAAAAGTCTCAATTTGCTCAAATGCTCTCTGCTTAGGGGAAAATTCTTCCAGATTCATTGGGGTTTAACAGAATCAGCCTTTGTTGAGGGTTTCATTTGTCAGATGTAGTCTGCCAGTAAAGCTAGCTCTGGGCTGTTACATTTAGGGATCTGCAAACCTTCATGAACTCACCATACCCTCTGACTATAAGCATTTAGGTGCATCATTTGATCATTTGTGCTTTTATTTTTTTTCTTTTAATCCCAAACTAAAAGACAAAGTAGTTTTATTTTTAGAAATAATAATAAAAACAGCCTAACTTTAATCTCACCGACTCTTAAAAAAGGCTGCTCAATTAAAGCTGAGCACTGTCAAACATAACGGGTTAGTAGTGCTGAGGAACTGGCCATCACTAAGGGATTTTTTTTAGAAGAGAAAGAATAAATTCCTGTATCAGTGTATTCTTGTGCCTTTTTTTCCCTTTTTAGTACAGAATTCCCCAAAGGGTCTGTCTACTACAATTATCACTCACGGCACATTGTCTGTTTACCTGCTCGCATCGAGCTGGAGCTTTCAGATCCTTGGTTCTTGTGGACTTTGCCTCTTGTGGAGACTGCTGTTTAGCATGGCTCCATATGTTGGAAATGCCATTTATGGCTGTAGAGTGTGCCCTGAGAGACCCAGATGGGCTAGCTGGAGTCGATTTTGTCATTATTATTATTATTATTATTTTATGTTATTTTAACCCTCTTGATTTACAGTGCTCAAGTAATTTGTGCTCACTGGGGCTTCAGTGGTAGGGCAAAAGTCAGGCTGCAGCTCTGCCCCAGGTGTTTCCTGAAGCATATATATTTGTGAGTGTGTGTGTGTGTGTGCACGTTCCCATGAAGAGGCCTCGTGTCTATTAGGGCTCATGTTTTTTTGTGTGTGTTTTTCTGAGCCTGCTTTCTTTCCTGTTTGCTAGGGAGTCCTGGAAGAGCAGCTGGTGCTGGACGGTGACAGCGCCTACAACGCGCACTTTGGGGAGAGCATGGCCTCCCTTGGCGATATCGACGACGACGGCTTCCCAGGTCAGTGCCTTTTCCTTGTGGCACCTTTCTCTTGGGCTTAAAGAAGAGTGTTTCATTGCCACTGCCCTCCTCCTGCACACTGGCAGATCTGGGACACCGATGGCTGGTGCCATGTGGCTTCGTTCCTTTGGACCCGTTCAACAGCTGGGCTTCATCCAAAGAGAGTCTTGCATGTGTGTGCTTTGCCTGCTAGAGCCCTTCCTAGCTGGCTGTGCCTGATCAGCATTTAGCTGTCTTACATACACGCTATACCTGACTGTCTCATTAGTTCTGGTTTGCTTCTGTGTTGTGACATTTTCTTCTCTTTTTGTGTGCTTCATGAAAGACTTTAAATTCTCACTACCCAAACAGAGCAGAATGTATGTCTGGCCTCTTCTTCTTTCCTGTTCTTTTAATGTTATTTTCCAGCTTTTTGGGCACAATTATGCTTCTTATCATAAAGTGTAATTAAGAAGTAGCTTTTTGCTACTGTTGTTGTATACTCCATTACGAATCTCTGTTCTTTGCTTTATTGTATCCCTGTTCCTTTCATGAGTGATTTGGTTTGAGGGCCTCTGCTGGGATAACTGTAGATGAGGGGGAAGTGTTAACGCTGGCACCTTTCTGCCCCAATTTTTGGCAGCCCAGTTAAGGACTTAGGAGCGATGACTGCTTTCCTTTGTGTGTGCCTGGGTTTATTTCTTCCAAGATACTCAGGGTGCAGTTCTACATCATGCCGAAACAAACCTCACTGCACGTTGCCAACACAGGTGAAGGGCACATTCTTCCTCTGAGGTGGTGCCTACACGCTGGTTGCTTCTAGTGCGTCAGATCTGGCAATCAAGAGGTTATGGGTGATTTGAGACTGTGGGTGTGAAGCCAACAGGAAGAATTTGCTTTCAGCAGCTGGGTAATCAACCACTAGCTCCAACAAGGAGAGGAGAATGCGAGATGGGATCGTTCTTTCTGCAGTGGCTTGCAGTTTAATTAGATCCAACATAATTTGAAAATGCATCTTCAGCAGACACTTTTTTTACCTTCCTATCCATTTAATGTAGCCAACTTATTTTGAAACTCTGAGTTTTCAAGCAAACCTATCCTTGTGCTACATTAAATACATTTTGCCAATTGTGTCTTGATTCGCAAAGCAGAAGTTCCCCTGGGATGAGGACTTTGATATGAAAGGATTTAAAATAGCCTTTTTGAGCATGACTGTTGGTTGATGTGCAAACATTTTCATAACAAAAACACATGTTTGTGATTAGGCACACACACACAGCCGCATGCATGTACAAGTTCATATACATCTGCGTATTTTTTAATTTATTTTAGCATGAGCTCATCATTAAATCAAACAAGTTTATGTAGCCAGGCTGACATGAGGAGTGTGCTGGTCATGTTCATCATGTTGAGTCGTCTTCCTGTGGAGAGTTGGCACGTAAAATTGGGAAAAAGTGGAACAGTGGAATGGATTCTGAAATGTTTGTGTTCTCTGCTGTTCTTCAGATGTTGCCATTGGGGCACCTAAGGAGGACAACTTCGTAGGAGCAGTGTATATCTATCATGGAGATGCCAATGGTATCGTCCCTCAATACTCTATGGTACGTAATGCTGGTTAGGTGATACACAGATGTGAAGGAACTCACCTGGGGCCTGAAGGAATGAACTGAATGTAGGGGTAAAACACGGTGATGGGATTTTTTCTGAACCTTGTCTTCCAGTGTAAGTAGCATTTTCCTAAGTGAATCCCTTCATAGGTAACCTCATGCAGTTTAAAGACACATCCTTTTCTCAGTCATGGTTTGCAGATGGCTTCTCCCAAAGCTTGCCCATATCCACACTAGGAGACCAAGCTGTGTTAGTTAAGAGATTTTTTTCCTCATCTTTTGTTACAGTTTGCATCTGTGGCTTCTTCCTTGGTGCAAGTGGAGTCTTAGGGTCTGAATTCCCTCAGCAGCCCTGCAGAGGAGGAAGGTGGAGGGTACATACAAGTTGTGGAAAGACCACGGGATAGTCAGTAGGCTGCTCTTTCTTCCCATAGAAGCAGGGATGTCAAGGGAAAAGAGGCACTAAGTTTCTCTTCTCTTCCCTGTAGAAACCTCTTTACCCAGCTAGCTGGCCCTCTTATTCCAATATGATAATATATTACACTGCACTGTGGGCTACAATTTCCTGACCAATATTTTGAAATAAAAACTAGGTTGGAGTATGCTACAGAGCCCGGTGCAAAGCCCTGGGTATGACTCAGTGCAACTGAGCCACATGAGCCAGGCAATAGAGAAGATAAATTCACGCTCGTCCTGCCCAGCGCGTGTCCCCTAGGCTCTGGCGAGCACTTTTCTTTGTTTTTTTTTCAGAGCCTGATTCCTCCCACCCTCCATGTGTTTGAAGTTTGAGCTGTTTTGTTTTGTTGCTGGGTGGGAGCCTTCTCAGTAAATGAGTTTAAGCAGAATTAAAAGGTTCAGTGGTTATACTGGAGACTTGTAACAGAGCACTGATCTTCTGCCTTTTACCTTGTCTATGCCATGCACTACTTTTTAGTAGTAGCAAGTAGTTAAATGCCTCTTTTACTTCTAAAATGCACAGATTAGTGATATGTGGAAAGCTTGGCCCTGTTTCTGCTGAGAGCCGCTGTCCTCGAGCACTTTCTCTGGCTTTTTAAAATGTTGGAGATTTGCAGCTCTTGCTGAAAAGAATCAGATTTTCTTTTTTCTTTCCATTTCCATGGGGGGAACTTCGCATTTTGTATAGAGGCCAGATTAGCAGCATGACAAATAAAACATCTCCCTTTTTGCCTCCACCTCCGCTGCTAGGGAGGCCGGCATGCACAGTGCAAGGGACCTGTGGGACCGAGCACAGCTCGAGAAGGTGGCAGGATACCCTGGTCTCTCAGTCTTGACCTAATTCCCCTCCTTAGCTTGTGTCCAGATAGGGGTGGCAGTGTGCACGGCCAGTGCTCCTAGTATGAGGGCAGTGAACATGCCACTCATGCATTTCCTGCATACAACACATAAAAAGCTGTGCAGCAACTTCAGCTCTTGACCTGCTTGCCCTGGATTTGAACCTAGAGGTGAAAAACTTTTAGTATCTTATTACTATACCCTTGAGTCATCTTAATGCTCCGGATTTCCTTCTCAAAATAAGCTGAGATGTGCAGGCATGCAAGGTATATGCTTTCACTGTATACATATATATGTGTGTGTGTTTATACATGCATATATACATATGCATACATACTGCTCCACAGTTTAAATTAAGAAACTATGTGGTTTTCCCCTTTTTCTTCATTTAAATTGCTGATGGGCATTCTGTCCTCCAATCCACTGTGCAGCTTTAGTAATGGCTGTGAGTGGGAGCAGCCTAGTTGGCTGGCAACATTATCTCTGTGCTAAATAAATACTGCCTGCCCAGGCTTTGGGGTCTGCTGTTTTCAGTCATGGCACTCAAAAGCAGAGCAGGGTTATACCTCTGCTTTTTGGACTGTAATAACGTGCAAATGTCTCATGGGACCCTCGTAGGTGAGACTGACCACCCGAACTGGGATCTCCCCCCAAAATGTGTTTGCACTCCCTGATGTAAATGTTAAATGAGGAGGAAGTTGACTTCCAATTGTCTTAATTTTATCTGCTTTTGCATAGGAAAGTGGAGTTCTATACATTGCATAGCACTGATTTCCCTTTAAGCTGGCTGTCAAAACTACAGGATATCTTTTTTTTTTTTTTTTTTTTTTTTNTTTTTTTTTTTTTTTTTTTTTTTTTTTTTTTGCGCTCAACTGATACTTTTTTGATTAATTTCCTGTCTGTCATTCTGTCAAATATTAATGACTTTTTATGGTTGGGCCAAGAAAAGCTAGCAACATTTCACAAGCTGTGAAGCATCATCAACAGCTAGGAGTTATTTACTGGGATAGGTTTCTTTTTGCATCACATCCTAGTTTGAATTAAGGTCTTACACTGGTGGGACCACATAATGGGTAAGAGCTGGGAGCCATCAGATTGCCATAGAAAATGAGATTTTGGTATATTAATTTGCTTGACAGAAAAGTATTTACAATTCGAACCATCTAGAGAAAGTTTTCGTGTTAGTAATTAAAAAAAAAAAAGCTATTTTGGAAGCTAATTAATCTCTGGGTTGGGGAGACAGAAATGAGATACAGCTTCCATACTGACACAAAATACTTTATAATTACTGATGAAAACCAGAATTTCCAAGTGGAGATGAAAATTAATTGTTTTGACTTTGAATATGTTGGCAAACATAGTGAAAAGACGTTGTTGTGCAGGATTTTCTCTTCCATTAAATCATCAATTTTCTTAAGATATAGAGTGAAACCTCTGCTTACCTAAAGGGAGGTAATGTGAGGGGGGAGAAAAAAGGAAAAAAAAAAGAAAATCTCAAGAGCACATTTTTCTTCTTCCTACAAGAAGTCTACCTGATGTGCTTTTTATTTTGCTTGGGTCCTCCTTTAGGTGTGTTGGTTAATCCAAGTGCCCTCTGGCAGCCCCCTGCTCTGGGGCGGATGCTCCACATGCCGGGAGCAGCGTCCCGTGTAGGAGCAATGTAAGTGGGCAGAGGCGCAGGGCTGAGCCTGCCAAAAGGAAAGCTCTGGGGACTTGAAAATCACTTGATTTTCAGCTCAAAAGCTTTGTCAGAGGCTTCTTGTGTTGCTGACTAGTTCCCCTTGTGTGTTGTCTCTTGCAGAAGCTGTCTGGGCAGACAATAAGCCCAAAGCTACGGATGTTTGGCCAGTCTATATCAGGGGGAGTCGATATGGATGGCAATGGATATCCAGGTGCGTCTGCTCTTCCCACAACAGCAGGGAAATAGCTCAGAAAACAGCAGGCCACGTTGCTGGTTAAGGCTCCCTCAACTGCAGGAAGCGGCATGCGGGATCTGTCCTTTTCTCCCTGTTAGCCTGAGCTTCCCCTAAGACTTGGAGCTGGCTGCTTGGTTTGGATGTTGGGGTGATACTGGCAAAGGATTGAGGTACCTGGCAGAGAATGCTGCTATCCTGCCAAGGTAGAAACTTCCTTGGGAGCTGCTTAGTCTTAATGATAAACGTAAGAAAATCAAAATTAGATATTAGTAATAACAAAGAAGATAATGAGCTGCAAGTGGGCCACCTTCACAGACCCAATCCTACACTTAAAACACTTTTGACATATTCATATTTTAAGGGACCAACTGATTTTGGTGAGAAAAATCTGTTTTTAAATGAATACTCTCCAATGTCCTAACTGGTGTAAGAAAACTGAGTTTTGTGCCTGTCAGACTCCTTTGTAACTGTCTAAACATTACCAAAATTTCAGATATGACTGTTGGAGCCTTCTTGTCAGACAACGTGGTACTTCTAAGGTGAGATTGATGTCTTTTTCTTTTATTCCTGTTCTCCCTTTGAATCTATTTTCTCTCAAGATGTTTTGTGGTCTAAGCCCTCCACCGCTGAAATTTTCTCCCTGGTTTATTGTGGTCAGAACAAGCAAGCTGCATTACTTCTTAAGCAGAACGTTAGGGATGAATGGTTTCAAAGAACATATAATCTAATTTAAACAGCATAGTAAGGGATGACAATATTTGGTAATTTCAAGACTATGAACAAACATAGAGGTTTAGAGCCAAAAGGAGATATGTATTGTAGCTCAGTGCCCCTTTAGAAAAGGTTATTGTTTACAAAAAGGTTTTTGAATTATGAGAAGATCTTTTTTTTTGGCTCCTTGATTCTTACATTTACATAAAGTAAACAAATTATGATTTAAGGGAACGAATCTGAGCAAAAAGCCAGCTTCCTACGATGCCAGAATGTAATTCCATGAGTTATGGAATGCATAATGAAATAAGAGCCTTCACGGAAATGAAATATGGAGATGTTTTCAATACCCACAGGATCTAGGCTACTGTTTCCAGTGTGTAAGTGATGTGTGATTGCTTGGTTTGTGTCCCATGGAGAGAGGTTTGATGGCTTCGTGGATCAAATTGCAAGGTTAGGGTAGGTTTGGGACTGAGACACACACAGCTCAGGGGAAGAGGATAGGAAGTTTTAATTTTGCTGGTAGCTCCACTGTTGCACTTTTTAATATTTAATGATAAAATCCTTTCAATAGCTTGATGTCTTTGGGGACTTCTGCATCTTAATGGAAGTTATAGGGATGTAGCGAGACTGGCAAGACAAATGCTTGAGCTGCAGAATTAACGTGACAACTTGTACCCTGTTAAGGGCTGGAAAGCTTGGCTCTATTTCCGTTAAAAAAAGACTCTGGAAGGTTTGCTGTTGTGTTTAAAACAATGTATATCACAACAGGAGGCTAACCTGAATCCACGTGTTCAATCACTGCCTGCTTCTGTAGGGATTGGTGCTTTGCAGACCCTTTTTATGGCCATCCTGATTAATTACAGCTACGGCCAGTTAGGAAGCATGTTGCTCTTGCTGCTTAGATTCAGATTGGATAAAGAAAACTGCTGTATTTTATTTTTGTTTTCCTTTCATTGCCCCTTTAGGAGTTTTTGAGAAGTTCTTTGGCCAAAGCCAACAAGTGTTTTGCCAAGTGATACTAAAGGCTTTTGTGGAAGCTGCCATGATGTGGGGTGGATGGTAGTAGCTGTGTTGCTCGCTTGCATGAATAGCCATTTGACAAATGCATTGTTATTTTCCCCAGGAAATAACCAAGAATGTTAACTTTAAGGAAAAATCAGACCGTGTGACATAGCTGGAGAGAGATTTCTTCCTAGATAAATTATAGCATTTATTTTTTTATGTCTCCCCAAGAATTTGGAAAGAGTTTTTTTGTCTATGCTGTGAAATGATCCTAGGAAGTTCATTCTTCTTCCTGCTTTTTTTCCTCTTTTTTTTTTACCTCCTTACCGCATGTATTTCTTGGGATATAATTTATCTTCATCCCCCATCTTGAAAGACCAACTTGCACTGTTGTTTTAGGCTGCAGTAAGAGAGACTGAGCAGCTGTCTTGGAGACTGCCATTAGTCTCATTCCAGTCGATAGGAATTAGGCGTGACCGCAATCCTGGCCCTCTTCTCCCCTGTCTTCCCCCACCTCCAAGTTCAGTGGCTTGTGGAAAGCGAGTCCTGAAGTGCTTTGCTTACACAGTCTGGCCCTGGGTGGCTGCTGGAGCCACCTTAGAAGCCAATCTGCTGGTTGCTGCTCCTTTTTCACTGCTCAAGTTGGTTTTGGAAGAGCGTGTTTGCCCCAAACATGTCCAGAATTGAAGCCACAAGGAATAGCAACGCTTGCTGAGTGCTTGGGCTGGGATCCTGTGCTGGGGTGTACATTTCCCGGCTCTATCTCCCAATGGGAGACCTGCTGCAACCACCCAGTCCCCTACTTTCACCTGCCAGCCACTGGATCACTCTCAAAATAGAGCCCTGCAAAGGCAAAAGAACATTTCACTCTAATTGTCTTAAAGTTCATATGCTTTCATATACTCTCTTTTATTTTTAATATCTGCTTGAAATTGTGCAGGTCACTGAATTATTTTTATTTCCCTTTGCTTGAGAAACTTCCTCCTGAACTGTCACTAAATCCCACTTCTTCCTGGATCTCCAGATCTAGGCCGGTGATTACCATGGACGTCTCCATCTTCCTGCCTGCATCCATCAACATCACAGCTCCTCAGTGCCACGACGGTTTGCAGCCGGTGAACTGCCTCAACGTCACGGTGTGCTTTCGCTTCAGAGGCAAGCACCTGCCTGGAGAAATAGGTAACGTATCTTGTCACTGTCGTAGCTGTAATCCCAAACAGTATCTTCACCAGCCTGTGTGTGGGCACACCAGCACGTAGACGTGGAGTCAGGGGCTCCTTAATGGAGCCAATAATGGAGCTTTTCCATGAGAGAAATTATTGCGAGGTGGGCTGGGACATCCAACTGCAGAATGTTGGAGATCCCTTAGATATTTTCTTGGGTGTGTTTTTACCATCTGATGAGGATGAGGTGACATGGAGTAGTTTCCTCCTCAGGAGAGGAATGGGCGTGTGTCCACGGATCTTCTACAAGAGCATGGAAGCAATTGACACTTTATAAGTTCATGTCTCCTCTGTTTACTTCTTGATTATTCATGGACATAACTTGTATCCATAATCTGTATCGAGGTTATTAGAATACAGCTGTGATTCCAGATGATTGGGCTTTGGAAATGCAAAAGGTGGTCTTGAAAGAGAGCACTGTAAGTCTGAACTCCAGAGTGCTATTAATACTAGACATTAGCTGATCTTTCCTGAGCATCAGTTTATCCATCTTTAAAATGGTTGTAAATAGCCCGATATTTACTTGATGGTAAGAGTATCTTCTAATTTAGTTGTTCTCTCTAAAACACACTGGGCTTCTTAGATGGAGTTGTGTAAGTCAAAGCCATTATATTGACTATATTGCAATACTACCTGCATCTTTTAAGCTTGTAAGCATCACAGCATAAGTTGCTGTGTGAAGTGATATGGGATAGAAACAACATTCATAAATAAAATAAAGATTGGATTTACTTAGTTGGGCCATGCTGTTTTATCTTAGCTGTGCCTTAGAAATGATGGAGAAGCTGAAGTTTTCTGCAAAGTGATGGTCTTTGTATCACTGCATTTCTCTGTCTGTGTGGTGGCTCAGATGAGGAGCTGGTGGAGCCAATGAAGCCAATGAAGAAGAATAAGAATAGAGTCTGTGTATGCTGGAGTGAGGGGCTGCAGGATGGGGATTTTACGTGAGATAAATAAGGTGAAAATAGGTGTCTTGCTTCTCCCATATGAATGGGAAGAAAGGAAGGGACTAGAAGCTGCTAGTTGGCATTGCTCTCTCTGCTGCCTTCATAGCTGAAAGAAATGGAGCTGCTTAAAAAATTGAGATTCCTCTTGATTCTAATATATTGGTGCAACTGTGACTTTGGATTCTGTTTTTTCACTTTTTCCTTCCCTGTAAATTCTGGTGGACTCTCAGCACACAAGCATCTGTTTTGGTAAAGTCTATTTTTTGTGCTTTTGCTACCCAGCCAGTCAGTTAGTTCTAGGTGCTGCAGGACTCCAGGACTGTTGATTCCTTTAACCTGAAAATTGATTAAGTCTACTGAATGTGTGGGTTTTCTTCTGTTCCCAGAGGCACTGCTTGAAATATTTTCTTTGCCTTGATCTCCCATCTCTTGACCGATAGCTATGAAATGAGCTGCCTTTTTTTCTCACTCTAAATATACATTCCTCCATTTTTGGAAATGACTTTGCTTCATCATGACTTGTGTAAGAACCAGTTGAATTCCCTTGCTTTGTCATGCAGACTGATGTGTTGTGGTGAAAGCAGATGTGCATCTTCTTTGGCAAGAAACATCCATCTTACTGCATAGGATTTTTTTACTATTAAGTAGATGATTATTAAACTTCCAACTATTGTCCTTTTATACAATGCCCCTTGAAAAGCAATTTGTCTTGAAAGTATTGCAGCCAAAATTGTCTAACTGTGTAAAAACCCTTGGGGGCATGATCTGGATGCAGTATCTCAAATAAGATTTCAGTTTGCAATCTAACAGTCAATTCGGTTTAGTTGTGTCCTAGTTGAAGTGTATCAATAAACAAAAGCATGGAACAAATCATGGAAATGCTGCAGCTGCTCCTGTCTTGATGGGTAAATGTGGCAAAAATAGAATATTCCTCTAAATCTGGACATCACTGTCCAGTTTGGACATTAAAAAGAGTAAGGAGGCATTAAACTGTTTTCTGGGAGTTTTGTGATGGTGGCTTTGGGGTTGCCTCAGCTTCAAATGTCTGGAAACAATTTGACATTGAGAATATAGTGGGGTTTTTTTTGTTGTTTTTGAAAATGCAGCTCCCTTAAGATTGGTCAGTTTGGCCTTAAACTGCTGGTTGCTAGTGAAAATCTGGGTGTTGCTGTCACTTCTGGCCAGCTGAAGTTGATCACCTATCACAAAATAATTGAACATGCAGGCGGGGTTCTTCTGTGGCAAATGTGTCTCTAAAATGTTTATTTGAATATGTGATTATTTCATTAACTGACACGTAAAGGAAAGCTGTCTTCATCTTGCAGTGCCTGACGTTTATACATATAAATCTTTCTGCCGCGCCGGCACTAGCTGGTCACGTAGCAGCTATCTGATGATCTCTGTTTGTTGATGTTACTTGATGCTTGCCAATGAAAGTGTAATTCCCATCCTTCTTGTGGACACTTTTTGCAGGCTACCGTCTTCAGAAGTCTCGATTTACAGCCGAAATGGTTGTGTCTGATGAGACCCCCCATGAAGGGGTGTTCTGCACACCAGGTGCCAGGCACTGTTAGACCCTTTGCTTCATCCCAGTGCATATTAGAGAGCTGAGTTTGGGGCTCTACCTCCCCTTGCAGAGGCAGCCTCAGTTGTGGCACGTCTCGGAGGTGTGAGGAACAGGGCATTTTATTTTTAACTCAAGGTCTGGCTCCAGCTGCCCCTGCGTCACCCGAGGGGCTGCTGTGACGCCTCTGCGGGAGTCTCTATTTGCTAAATGCAGCAAAATTCACGGCGTGCTCTGTTCCTGCAACAGCTGCTTTTGTTTGCAGCACTTGCGAGGTGAGAAGGAAAGGAAGCAACTTCCCTGGGTAAGGCAAATACGTGTGGATTTCATACTTTGTTCCTTAAAAAAAACCCAAAACTTGAACTAACAGGAAATGCTTAATCTTTCCCCTTGAACTTCCTCTACAGTAGGAAATATATTGAATATAGGTCTTATTGGGCTGTTGGCTTGCAAGCCGGTTTCCACAGCAGGTGGTGAGCTTGCAGGATGGACTCTCAATATTGAGATGTGGCAATGTGAGGATGAGGGCTCCAGCACAGACTGGGTGTAATAATGGTCATGGCTTCCTGGGGGCCCTGAAACACGGATGTGGCTGCTCTAAATGTTGTGGGTCTCCTCTGCTGAGAACTGGGCCAGGCAGGCACATGCTGCAGCATCACCATGTTCTTGCTGTCTGGTGGTGCCTGATGCTTCACCTGCCCCTACCTACATTAATGAGGTCACACCGTTAGCTTGGTGGGAAGTGGGGTAAGAAAAAGGTGGCCCAGGTGAGGCTCTTCACTTTTCTTGCAGTTCTGAGCAGCTAGAGCAAGAAAACTGAGGTTGTTGGTGTCTTGCATGCATTGAGGACTGTTACTGCCTCCATCCCCACAGGACAATGGAAACAAGTTTGTGTCCACAGTCTGGATAATTTGCTGTAAGAACCAGATGAATTGTGTTTGTGAAAAGAAAGGGGGTTGGTTAGAGCTGGGCAGATGCATTAGAAACTCCTTCAAAGAGCTTCCTCTGTACTCTTTGCTTTTGCCTCCCCACCTGGGCTCCTCTTTGGAAGTGGTGAAGGAGAGACCCTGGGAGGGGATTGATAAATAAAAAACAGAAGTGATGAGAGGGAAAAAAGAAAAAAAAAAAAAAGCTTAGTCATGATATTTCATTTTTTCCGGTGATGTGACATCATTGGGTATAACATAGAAACAAGTTGTCAAAATAGAGCAGGAGGGGGAGGGAAGAGAAATGGGAACAGGGCAGCATGATGGAAAACACCTGCTGTTGGCTTGGGGATCCCTTTGCTCCTGGTGAGACGTAGCGTGGGGGCACACTGGGATATTCCTGCCCTGCGTATGTGTGAGGTCTTGGAGGCAGAAGGGATATGACTGGGGATGGGTGTGGGAGCTGCATGCTCCAAACAACAACAAAACTGTTGTAGAGGAGCCTGCTGGGTTCTTTAAGATGAATTAGAGCTCCTGTGTTTAGGTGGTGCTCGTCGGTAGCACTCAGCAAATATGTTTCAGGTGCTGAGCTCGCCAGGGGATGAAACCCTTATGGGTGTTATCTCTCTGAGCAAGGTTTTCTGCCAAAACACAAGCAATAAAGGTCCCTGTGGACACGAGGCCTGTTCCTTAGCTGTGCTGCTGGCTCCTAGCTGAGGCTGTGCCTCTGCTCTGGGCAATCCCAGCAATGTGCTTTTAATCAAAAAGTGACGTATCGCGACCTCCCTGCTGCCTTTGAAGGGAATTAGGGAATGTTCACAGGAACTTCTGCACTGAGTTTTGCTGATTAAAATTGTGGAGTTAGCACAAAAATTGCTAACTAGATTCTTTAAAGCAGCAGAGCTTCAGTAAATAGGCAATTGGAAATGATGCTGCTCATCGCAGTCATAATATTACAGCAGAATTTATTCCCTTCCACTCCCTGCCCCCCGCCTCCTCCCCAAAAAAAGCTTTGAAATTTGGTATAAAAGGCCACAGTCTAAAAAATATGTTAAGCTTACATCAATTGACTGTAAAATTGAGCTTTAAAAAAGAGGAACAGTTGCATTTATGGGGAGTATCATTTTGGATTTAAATAGGATATAAATAAATTTGCCCAGTATTTGCTGAGCACCCGAGGTGTGTAACACACAGATTTGCACAGGAGCTGGTACTGGCTGCCATGTACAAGCTTGTAAGCTAATTAAGTTGGTCATCCAGTGGTACTCCCATTAGTGCTTTATTGGCAGCTGAAATTAATACAAGACCTTGCCCTTACTGATTGAATGGACTTCACAACCTGTGTTTCGCTTTGCTCTAGATGGTAGCAAAATAAGCATTCGTGTTTCTGTTGCAATCTCACATCTTATCTTGCTCTGGTTGCATTTACAAAGAGAAAATACGTTATCAGCTTAAATTACTGCAATCTGTAAGTAACTATTTGACATAGCAAAGGGGCTTTGTTTTGGACACAGATGCAAGCAGACACAGATCAACTGATCTTGCTAAGCTACTGATTCTGTAGCACAGCCAGAATAACAGGATTTACAGAGAGCTTGTTGGGCTCTGGGAATGTCTTCTATAAACTTCCTGGGATGTCATATCTAAAAGTCGGGTTGTTGAGTATGAGGTGTTGACCATAGTTAAGGATTAAATAATGGGAAGATTGCAAATCGACCAAAATAATGGTCGGGAAATGCTGCATTATGGTTGACATTTGCGTAGTTTATGTTGTTTGAGAAAGAAAACAAAGCTGGCTTTTGTTGTTGTTTACATTTTGTTTTCACCTTTCCTGCTGGGAGAACAGTTAAAGCCTCTCTTGGTTCTTTTTTTAGTGTTTTGTGTCTAGTGTGTGTATTTTTACCTGTAGCTTCTTAGTGCTGCTCAGGGTCCTGCGGGAGGGCTGGGGAGGGCAGTGACCCACGGGTTGGGAGTGTGTCGGTGACTGGGTCTGGCTGTGCACAGTCACAGGAAACCCAGTGATTGATGGAGGTCCTGCAAAGGCCGACCCTTCCTCAAGGACCAACGGGCTCCTTTGGTGGCTGCCTAGAAAATAACCATTGTTCACTGACATCCTTTGTTTTCTTCTTCTTCCTTTTCAAATCAGGTTTGAATTACAACTTGACTGCTGATGTGGCAAAGAAGGAGAAGAGCCAACAACCCCGAGTTTACTTTGTGACTTCTGGAGAGTCAGTGGGGCAGGTCACAGAGAAGTTGGAACTGTCCTACCTGCAGGAAAAGTGTGAACACTACCTAGCCTACGTCAAGGTCAGTTCTTTTCTGCCCTTATTAACCACTGACCTTCCTGCAATTCCCTTCCACTCCCTCCTTTTGTTATTTATTTATTTATTTAATATTCCGCCAATTAAAATCATGGTGTTTGACTTCAGATGCCCTTGGTTTACCTCACAGGCAGAAGGTTTTAGGTGAAAGCTCAAAACTTCATTGCTCCGCATGATTTAAGCGTGTGCACCTTTGGCCCTTTGAAACATTTCCGGGAATATGTATTTTATTTATTTTTGAGCTGTTGTGTTTGTATGGGACACACTTCTTTTTTGGTCTTGGTTGGTTGTTACACATTATTGGTTGCTACACTTACGATAAGGATGCAAAGATTTATTTTGGCAGAAGCAACAGGTTCAGCATTTGATATTATTAGTTCTGTGTAAGGTGTTTTCCTCTGTCTGCACAAGGGGCTGGCAGAGTGATCTGAATGGAAATGGGGGGGTAACTGTGCCTGCTCTGAAGCAGTTGAGCTCCCAGACAAGAAGAGCACTCTCTGAATTTCGCTTGGCCTGGAAAACAGCAGGAGTATAAACTTATTTTCATCTGGATTTAAGACTATAGGGAGCACACTCTCTACATGCTGGGATGTAGAGAGGGACTATGGAAGATAAACTGGCCATCCTTTGGGCAAAGTGTTTTTTTTCCAGGGACCTCTTGGAACCTTGGTTATCTTTGGCTGGCAGCTGTTGCTAAGGAAATGTCACCCAAGTGCCCTTCTGTTTGCAATGTAAATAAATTAGTTTTCTCTCAGCTAGGAAAAGTGTAGAGTGGGTTTGGAAGTTATATGGAAAGAAGATTTAAAACTGTATATTTCTTATTAACTTTAATCTGTACCACAAACCTTGGGAGCTATATGAAGCAATTTGGTTGTGTGGGTGAGTTGCATATCCTCTATTCCCACAATTGAGACAGAGCTAAATACACTGGATTTCACTTGGCACTGTCTTGTTTTTGAAAATCTAGCAGGTCCAGAAACCCTTAACAGTGTTAATCTTTTCAGGAAGCATTTTTGTACCTAAAAGCCTTGAGAATGGGAGGTAAAATTCATCCATTGATTTTTATCAATGTTTTTGTGCCTGGATGTTGAGATTAAATAAAATAAAGGGACCACCAAGGAGACAATGATGTCCTATTAGGTTACATTTATGTCTGAGAAGAGTGTAGATATCTTCTGTGGCTAGCTTATTTATTTATTTTCCCCCCTCTGGAACAACCTTTGCTTTCTGCTGTGAAAAAGCTCCTTAAAGAAAATGTAGACATATGAGATACTGTTAACTAGAAAACTTGGAATTTACTAATTCTGATCTTTCTGAATTAAGAACATCTGGTTAGCCTTTCATGTACTGAGTTCAACTGAGAAGCAGCATGTCCCTTTCTGTTCTAAACCAATAATGAGCTCCTTCACACCAGCCCTCTTCTATCCAGAATTCATTAAAGAGAAATATATATATATATATATATATACACACACCCAGGAGAATTTCATTTATCATAGCATTGGTAACTGATACTGGAAGTGCAAAGGTAAGAGTTATATTTCTTTTGCCTATAAAAGTCAAAGTTTTCAGGAAAAAAAATAGCCACATTGAAACACATGAAAAAATTGAAACAAAACAGCTGGCCATAAAACAAGGCTACTGACTTTCTATATGATATAAGTAGCTATTTTTTCCCCAGTTGAAAGAATAGCGGGAAGTGTCAATCATCTGTGTAAGGGAGAGTGCAAAGCAGTGGAGAAAGATAATTCCTGTGCTCTCATGGGAGAAGTTAGAGGCTCTGCAATGCTGCTTGACATCAGAAACATCAAAGGCGGCCCTGCACACTCTGGGGGAGTGGAAATGGGGTCAGGATCTTTCGCTGCTCTCTAACCTTAAGCAACAGATAGTTTAAAAAAAAAAAAAAAAAAAAACTCTCCCTTGCCCAAGTGTTTCCTCCGCCACAAACACCAGAAAGCTCCTTGATTACATAGTTTTGTGATGGGCTGAGTGATAAAAGATCTGGGCATTAAACACTTCCTATCAACTATTTCACTTATCTCACCTCTTCCTTTTCTTTACCATGGACCTGGTGAAGTGGTCTCCCTGGCAAGATGTGTTGGTGGTGGTTGTGTCCATAATGTTTGCTTTATTACTGTTTGTTTCAGTGTCTAGTGGCCGATCAATTGATATGGTAACGTGAAGATTTATGTGTTGAAATGTCTGTGATCAAGGCAGAAAAGCTCTTTGGGTTTGTGCGTAACAGACAGTCTGGCAGCCCTGCCAGGTAGACAAGGTGTCCCATCCAAAAGACAAGCAGCAGAGCTCTGTGTCAGTGGGATGCGTCCATGGAAGCCTCTGCCAAGCCTTACTGGATGGCACTCTTACCAACATAGCTGTTGGAAGAGTAGGACAGAAGGAATGGGAAAAGCAGTGGAAAAACTAGGCCTATGTGAGCATGCTGTGAATTCCTTTGGCAGGATTTAGCCCAAGGCACCCCAGCGAACACTAAAAGAGATGTAGGCTGTAAATGAGCGGACAGGGATAATTGTTAAATTATTTTATGGCTGCTAAGTCTGTGCTTTGAGCATGAATCCTCTTCTGTTTGGCCCCTTAGCAGGACAGGAGCTATTGTTCTTGTTTCTACTATTGAATTAGAGTGTTAAAATCTTTGACTTTACTTAAACTGTGTGATTGAGATTAATTAGTCTCAAAAAAATTGTAAGATGTGGATGAGAATGGAAAATGAAATGGAAATGCTTTGGGACTGCAAAAGGTTTTGAATTCAGTTCTGAAATGGGTCAGGAGAAACTGGAAGAGGAGAGATGACGTTTTCTGATTTCTAGTTAGAACAGTTGAACACTTTAATAGAAATCACTACTGTATGTTCTATACTGCCTCAAGTATACCCTGAAAAAGCTTTGTTTTAATTTATTATTTGTTTTAATTAAGGTGTCAGTGTCCACTACTTGTGACATTCAGAAGTATTGCAGGTTTTTTTTCATATTAGTGCTTAGCCCAAGTTCTGCTGTTTTTTGGGAGGCCTCTGCTGCTGGACAGTTCCTCCTTTGCCCATGTAGAGGGTGACAGCAACATAGGTCCTCTGCTTGGACTAGGGTAAAGTGGGTGACAAGGGATGATGCTTTGTGTTTCTTTGTGAACTTCCATCAATGTTGCCAGAAGAAAATGGGGAAAAAATATTGAAGTCTGAATACCTATTTTTCAGTTGGAGGAACAGCACATAAACAAAGAGCAAAGGAGAAGATGCAAAAGGCTGCAGAAAAAGAACAGAGAAGGAAAGTGAGTGGGCTTGGAGGCTTTAACATATAGCTGCTTCAGCTACATGTTTGGGGCTGCAATTGAAATGAGTAGCTCTTGCTCAGCTCTTAAGACATGGCACTGGTCTGGCAACACTCGTAACACTTAAGCTTTGTATTTGCTGCAAGCTGCCATCAGCCTCTAAGTTCTAAGGAAGCTTTTATTACCCCCTTGCAGTATCTGCCTTAGGGGATTCCTGCATTGGAGATTCCTCTCATGTTTAGGACAGATTTGTCAGGAGTTAGGACAAGACCATTTGACACAGACAGTAATGACTTAGTGGCTGCAGATTTATATGGGGTGAAACCTTGTCTTCTGTAAGGTTTGTCATGAAGTTAGAATGATGGCAGTGGTGAAGGCCCCTCGCAGGAGTGCTGCACTTAAAACAGAAAGAATCAAACAAAAAGAACCCACCAAGGACCAGGCAGCTGGGCTATCCTTGCTGCCAGGCACGGCTGTCCCTTCTCAAAGTGATGGTTTCAATAGCTTCACGTGGCATGAGCAGCCGTGGTACGCAGCTACAGCAGACACAGCACTGGTGCTCTCTGGTGATCTTTATCTGGGTGAGTGTCTGGCTGTGCCCAGCGGTCTCTCGTGGCCTGTCAAGTTAACTCTTGCTGGCTCTGGCTGTTGTGTTGAAGAGGACAGAGCTGAGGAGGGGCTGAGGTGCAAGGTGGCAGGTAATGGCACGCAGGCAAGGGCATCACACAGCGTGTGTCCAGCCAAGGACACAGCTCAGTGAAGAAGTCACACCACTGTTCCTGTTCACTGCTGAATTCTGCAGACAGACATTCACCTTGTTGCAGTTCTGGCGCTTGCCTTGGATTGCTGTTACCTCTGGGCTCTGCAGAGACTCTGTGCTACCAGTCTCATGTGGGTTGGTTTCCAGTGCTCACTGATTTTAGTCATTGCTTATGGTAGTGATCGTATCTCTCTCTGTCTGATGGTATCAAAGGGAGGTGTGTGTATTAGATGTAGGCTTTCATTCTCGATGCACAGTGATCTGGCTCTTTCGTGGAGTCCTGGTAGCAGAGCAGTCGGACTGTCTCGCTGTACAGATAGTATTGCTGCGATCGTGTGCCAGAAATGCTTTTCTCTGAAATGTGTCTGCATGTGAACCAACATCTCTGTGCTTAGGTGGAGACTAGCACTAGACTGGCCTGGTGGTGCTGCAGAATGGAGGCTCAGAGAGGAGCTTGGTTTGAAGGTTTGTCCATCGCAAAGCTGCTGAAGCTGTGACCTTGTGGAAGAGGTTTTTATGGACAGAGCTCATTGCTGGAGTGCAGAGCTTGGACTGAGCCTGGTTGCTCCAGTCTGGTGTGAGCCATGCCATCTGTGTTGAGCAATGGGTTGTATTGCCCGTGTAGATGGTAACTGCTGGTTTGCAAGGGAGAGGGTATCTGGCACTTTGTGAAGATCCCTTAGGAATGAACCAGCCAGCTCGGCTTGCCTCCCTCTCTCCTCCTCTTCCTTCCTCTTGAACCAAAGCAGAGCCAATGCATCACAGGAAACCCGTGTGCATGAGCGACAGGGGAGAAAGTGGAGCAAGCCAGTGGATAATATTTGAAGCAGAGACTGAAAAATGAAAAAAAAGTTAGTCACAAACATCTAGAATTTCACAAGACTTAGACCACCATGCAGACAAAGGGAGCAATAAGCTATTGCTGCCTGCAGCAGGAAGTGTATAAT